TAAATAGCCTTTCTATTTAAAAAAAGACTGGTACTTTTTACGATATTAGAAATAATTTTGCTGTTTTCCCCACAGGCAAGCGTCCTCATGAGTGCAAGATCTGCAACAAGGCCTTCAAGCATAAGCACCATCTGATTGAGCACAGCCGGCTGCACTCCGGAGAGAAACCCTACCAATGTGACAAGTGTGGCAAACGCTTCTCTCACTCCGGCTCGTACTCCCAGCACATGAACCACCGCTACGCTTACTGCAGCAAAGACCAGGATCCAGACCAAGACCCCGACGAGATGCCTCTCACCCCAGGGGCAGGCAACAACCTCGGGGGCCACCTTGCTGACGGGACCCCTCTGTCCATGGAGGATACTCAAACACCCCACTCGTTCCTCAGTGATTCAAGTCTGGATGGAGCTGCAGAGGCCCTCAAGGAGGAAGAGGCAGGAGTCAGTGATGGTCATGTGGAAGAGGCACGTGTGAGCTCAGGGGCAGCAGAGGATCTGGGAGGTAGCCCCATCCGAGAATTACCTACAGGGGAGAATGGAGAACAAAATGAGAGAAATATTTACAATGTGGGAAACCACATTCACAATTCTGAGAGACAATTCTGGGACAGAGATACTAAGGAGATGAATGGAGACTTGGACAAATGTGAACCGAGTCTGGATACAGATTTACCCAGAATAAAAAACTTTAGGTGACTTTAACAAGGCAATACAATGCATATGCTATATATATATAATAAGACTTTTGATAACCTTTTTCTCTCATAACAGCTCCACTGATTTTTGTACTCATTTTACAACATGAAAAAATGCACAGAACTGCCAAAGTTAAATGGCCTTAAAGTGGATGAAGCCATACAAACAAAATATATGTGACAATGCAAATGACAGTATTTTATTATGCAACATAGACTTGATGTACCTACAGTGTTTGATTTGTTATGTTTAGATTTTTTTATTGTTTTTTGTTTTTGTTTGTTTGTTTGTTTGTTTGCCAGGACAGCTAAAATATTTGGGTTGACTCATCTGAGGTCATGTCACATATACAGATGTGACACTGCAGAAATCTCACTTATATGCTTGCTGCTGCTGACTATTGCACAACCCATAAAGCAGAGGCTTTTGTATTTTCTACCAATGAGTGAATTTAGAAAGCAGGTCCCAAAGGAAATGTTTGTATGATCGATTGCAGGATGGAAAGACATCCACTGTTACTTTAACATGCCATCAGTGTTAAAAGTTACACACGCAGCCATATCAATCAGAATCGCTTGATGCTTAGTTAGTATATTTATTCTTCTTAATAAGCCAAAGTAACTTTCCCTCAACAGTATCCTGTGGTATTATTTGATGAACATCTTTACCTCTATTTTAAGAGATGAACAATAACTTGTAAATGAAAATACACACATGCAGCTATTACTTTGTCCCAAAGCCAGTGAGGACTTGAAAATGTATAAATAAAAGTTTATTATTCATGCTGTGAAATCACAAGGTACAACCAGCTCAACTCTTCAGGTTAATTATGGTGCTCAGTGGCTTTAACAAATAGGCAATCTATAAAGTAGTTTAGAGCAAGCTGTTAAAAGAAGAAGAACCGGAAGGTGGTTGTTTATTTATTTTTTTAAAACAAAAAGCAGTGGACTGCACCTTTTTAACTGTATGCCTGACTAGGGGACAGTCATTTCTTTATTTGTGTAGTGGAAGTTATAAGGGGCAAAAGATGAAGTCAGTCTTTGGGTTTTTTCCTTTTAGGGAGCAAATAAAACTTTCTCACTGTTTGTGTAATAATCACTCGGAGCTGCTTTATTTCATTTAATGCTAAAATATCTCCCATTTCTCGTAATAATTTACATGTGTTACATGTACACCCCCAGAACAATAATGTGTCACTCACGTGGGCTGTCTGTTGAAGCGTGGCAAAAGGGTCAAGACTCAAGACACATACATCAGCTTTTTAATTCCTCTTTTTGAGTGCAGTGTAGTCAACGTGAAAAGTGTCTCAGATGTACTGTGAGTAATCTGACAAAGCCTTGGTATGACAAGATAAGACAGTGGTGCATGAGGTGTGACTAAGCTTGTAGCATTCATGCATACCGTGCGCCAAAGATGCTTCTGGTCAAAATGTATGTGTGTGTGTGTGTGTGTGTGTGTGTGTGTGTGTGTGTGTGTGTGTGTGTGTGTGTGTGTGTGTGTGTGCTTTATCACCAAAGATATGCATATGACACGCTAACTGCCACTCTACTCTTGCATAGTTCCTTACCTGTTATTTCTGGGTCAAAAAATAGGCAAAGAAATTGTTTACTATCACTCAATGTCTACATCGAGCTGTGTTTTTTTTATCTTTTACCTGCACCCAGCAACTCTTCTATTAACCTTTTATACATATATTTTTTTGCATGTTTGTGGATATTTGTATAAATAAAATTGTACATACCTTGTCACCAGAATCTTGTATTTTGTTGATTTTTCCTAATTAAAAATAATCAACAATCAGTATATTCTTGTCAGTTAATGTGAAATTGCTGTACAAAATTTAAGTGTAATAATTTCAAGCCAATGTTCCTCATCTGGCTATGAAACAGGCTAAATTATTACGTTATTTCAAACAAGGGCAATTCAGTTATCAGTCTTAAACTATCAAATGCTATGCTTTGTTTTTTTTATTTAGGTAAAAAGCACAGGCCCTGCCACTGAGTTTCCCATCACAGTAAACAGTTTCCATCACCACTCAAGATCTGCAGACTGCTTTGTTACACTAGCTTCTTTGTGGCTCTGCCTGTTTGCATGATGATTCATCAGAGGTGGGTGCTTTGTGCCTGTGAACCAGTGTATGTGGCGGTGGCAGGCAGGGGCTGAGCAGCTCTTCTGGTATTTGATATAGTGAGCTTTAGATTAACAGTAGGTTGAGTAAACAATTGGCCGTAATATTAACAAAGCAGGATGGTTGACATATGTTGGATACTTGGACAGTGGCACCAACATTTTGTGATGTTGTGTTTTTCTGATCGCTCTGAGAGTTTTGGGAGCTCGACAGTGAGTAAGATGACATTTAATTGACACCTGCCTTGACTTACATTTGTGGTGTAAGAAAAATCACCCCAGTCTGACAGCAACCTCAGCACCAGCATCACTTGCAACATGCTGCAAGTCCCATCCATGAGCAACAGGTTGTAAGTTTGGGTGTTGAGCATATTTAAGTTTCGATTTCCCGCTACCAACAGTGCAACAGAGCAAGCAGGCCTGTCTATAAAGAATGAACACAGCTACAGAGGTATTTTGTTCTTCAACCAGAGCAACAAGGTCAAGGCACCTTTGTTAGTCATTATACTGCAGAAGTGGTCTTTCAGTGTCTAATTCCCACCCAGTTTGAGAGTAATTCTCCATAGACAAACATCTCTGTCCTCTCCTCTTCTCCAACGAAACGAATTGTGAACAACTTAACAAAAGACCAAGGCGTCCTATACAGTAACAAAAAGGGCAGTTGTTTGTCATATGTCGTGGTTGTAGCTCTTCCTTCGAGAATAAATCATACAGATGCATTAACATGGAGCTGGCAAGCAAATTACTATAAAATACACTTTCTAAAGTGGTTCATTTAAATTTTGGACTTTGAAAACTAAATCAGTTTTGAGAGTTTCTTGGATGAAAAACATGTAACAGATGAAAACATTTCACAACCTTCTCATTGTCTTACTTCCAGATTTTTTTAATAAATACTTATTCATACTCAAAAACATTTTTCTGTAGTGTTGCAGCAAACAAAATAACTACCTACAGATGCAAAATGGTTTTGAGCTAATGTCAGGCTGTTACATTTCATCAATCCATGCACCAAAAATCCAAAAGCACTTCTGCTCTTTGTTCCACATTTGAAGTAATGGCTGCACATTTGACTATAATACTTTTTATACAGAAGCACAATGATATTTTGCATTGTTTTAAATGTATTAAGGAATATTCAGAGTGCCAAGTCAAACAAAAAAGAAAGAAAGAAAAGAAACTGAAGAAAGAAAAAACAGCAGCATTAAAAGATGAAGTAATAGCGTTTGAGTTTCACTGCCAACGCACTGCTGATTAAGAGGGAGGGCTGTTTGATTGTGTCTCTGATGGACTGATTCTATTTTAGGCAGTCATTAGCGCCATCACACCAAGTGAAATAAAACACATCACAGAGCAAGAGTCTACAGCAGTTTAAAACCACTTGGTTTTTATTGACAGAAAAATCCCTTCAATTTCAGAATTTGGAGAGAGAACAAAACATACAGTAAAATACTTTATGAAATACTCAATGAAGTTTTCAGGGTGTTATAATATTTCTCTGCTTAACATAATTAATGGAAACATTCAACTTAATGTAAGACTCTGGGACACATGGGTGTCAAAAGAGCAGAAAGAAATTGAGAAGCAACAACACTGACCGAGGGACAAAAACTGTGATGACTATGTGCATACATGCATTTGGATCAAATAAACAAGTGTGGTTGTCTATTTAAGAAGAAAATATTTCTCTGTCAATTTAATATAAGGACGACCTTGGAAATGCAGAGAGTGATCAAAATTTCAGATGACTCTCCATCAATCAGCTACAACTCATTTTAGTCCCTCCCCACACACTCGCAGGACTTGAAATAATACGAACATAAAAATGAATAAATACATCTAATAAAACTTTGCAAAATCTCTGAGCTATGAGCCCCCACCCGTGCCTCTTTTCTGCTCTTTTTTGTCTTTTGCCAAACCCACAGACAATATAAAATTACCAAAGCCACAGAGTGAGAGGGTTTTGGGGAAAATCCACATTTTTTAAACATATGCATTTCCAGTTCCTCTTTTGTTCTGTTATTAAAAGCAGCATTTGCACCAATCACAGGGGATGCCTCCGCCCGCTTCGTCTCTGTGGCCCACATACCTCCACACACTTCTACTATCTCTCACGCAACCCATCGCTCAGTACAAACAACCTGACAGACACATCATGACCAAATATCACAAAACAAATCAGTTTGTTCACTCTTTTTTAATTATTGCAGGGGTGTTAGCAATCAGGTCAAAGCAATATATTAATGACACTGTCCATTTCAAAGCAAATGTATCATTTTGAATTTGGCTAATATATGATGTTTAGGTTACACACTGTATGCAAAGTGCTACTAGTTGACAAAGACAGTATTTCACATATTTACAATGTAATATTTTTAACTTAATCTGAGGAGTCTGCATTAATAAAAATAGAAGACAGATCCAAATTTGTACAATAAGGGAAGAAGGTCCACACATGACAAAGTACTATTTGGTACAAAGGAACATTTGCTGCCCTGGTGGCTCATCCATCCCATCACTGAAATCATGCTTTTATCTTTGAAGAGTTCCCCGTTAAACCCTGTTTGAAGTCTTCAACCTATAAAGCTCTTCATCTAAACACTGTTCAGCGGAGATGTGGGCACATTCACACGCCCAACAACAGCTTGCTTCCTGCTTGTTTGCATATTTTAACAGTATATCTATGCTGTTCATTGCAGGTGGAATCTGTCCATCCTTGCTGCAAGAGGTGCTGGTGCATGTGTTTTCACAGTGAGATGGTTCTGCTAAGTTTGCTTTCAGTGCTCCGTTAAGACAAATCCTTCTTTCATAAATTTCTGATTAATACTCAGCTAGCTGGACCAGCTGGAGGAGATTTATCACTTTTATGGCTTTTATTTATCCCGATCAAGTCTGAAACATCAAGGAAAAGTGACAAAGAGGTGTCTGTTCCGGGAGAAAAGAACACCGAGGTTGGGCTCCACATCTGCAGTCAAAGACACAAGTACTGCAGCTAAAATTGGTTTGTTTTACTATTATTGTTTTAACGTGGCTTTATATGGAAGCCAGATGTCATGATTAGCAGCTTTCTGTCCTGGTTCTTTTTACCCCATAATTATCTTTTGATGTGAAATCCATTTTTACACCACATGAGTCAACAGGCAAAGAGGACAAACGCTGCACTACTTGTGCTTTCGTCTGGGGGAGCCTTCTGAACCCCCTCTGTCCGAAAAGTTCAAGAGGGGCCTCTAGTTCCAAAGATGTGGTCAAACTCGCTGAGGATGAGCTCCACCGCCTGGTTCTGGTAAATCATATTCACCGCCATGTTGCCATTGTCCCGCTCCGGGCGCATCAGGGTCGGTCCAAACACGATACCGATGTTCTGGGTGGTCATTCGGTTGGTGTCTGAGAATTCCAGCACTCTGCAGAGAGACAGGACAGACAGAGATAGGAAGAGAAAGGTTTAACATCATCTAAAATATCAACAAGAATTGATATTGGATTTAAATTTTTAGTCACACCAGCAGGATGGCTCTAGGGATGGGATTGTCGGTCACTTTGGCCCAGAGTGAAACATCTAAGGAACTATTTGATGGTTGGCTATGACATTTTGGACATACATTAATGGTCTTCAGATGATGAATCCTAATGAATTTTGTGATCCCTTCACAGTTCCTTAAGCACCACCATGACCGTGACATTTGGATGGATTGCCATAAAATTTGGTTGCAACAATAATTTCCCCCCACAGGATGAATTGTAATAACTTTTAAAAACTGGTCTTCTTTTCAGCTAGCGCCACCATCTGGTCAAAATTGTTATTTTTCCAGCACTTTGGTTTGTGATCAAATGCCTGCAAAACTAAAGATATTCCCATCAGTCTGAGTTATACTTTGTTTTTATTGCTAATTAGCAAATGTTAGGATGCTAACTCGCTAAACAAAGATGCTGAACATGGTAAATATTAAACCTCCAAAACATTGGCATATTAGCATTGTCAATGTGCGCATGTTAGCATGCTGACATTAGCATTTAGCTCAATGCTCAATAAGTATAGCCTCACAGATCATGCAGAGCAAGGCTGTAGACGTCAAGTCTTGTTTGAATTAATCTTTGGTGGTCAGCAAGTGACTCTTTATAATTCTTACAGACTAGTAACTAAAAGAATCAGTCACCAGGGACATCTTGTTTTTGCATGCATGTTCATGTGCATGTATCTGCATCTTACAATCTATATTCATGCACATAAGTGTCTCAATCCACTGCCTGTATCCTCCTACGTTGGTGTGTTTGAGTGTGTGTGTGTGTGTGTGTGTGATTGGGGGGGGACTCAGGAATGGACTTAAGCCACAGCATGAGGCATTCTTCTAAAAATGCCATTCCCACCAAGCCACAGAAGCAGCCAGCAATTGCTCAAAACTTCCACATTAAAAAGAGAGGAGGAAAAAAGAGAGTGAGAGAGGAGAGGGAAGAGGAAAAAAAGGAGCGAGGGAGGGAGGGAGAGGGCAAAGAGAGAAAAAAGAGAGAGGTTCCAGTGGTGGCGGCGGTGGTGTTGGTATGCCTTCCAGCAGACGAACCACAAGGCTCCCATGGGACCTTTGAGGCAAGGAGGAGAGCGGGGGGGAAGGCAGAGGGAGGAGGGGGAGGGAGGAAAATGGATAAAGGGATGGAAAGGGAGGAAGAGGAAAGGGACAATACAAAGAAGAGAAGGAAGATAATGTAGAGGAAGTAAGGAAACAAAGGTAGTAAGAGAGCAAGAGAGGAGGTGACGGGGGAGATTGGGCAGGGAGATAATAAATGAGAAACAGAACGAGGGGGGAAAGGAATGACAGCGGGGAGAAAATGAGAGAAAGACACAGAGTTGACAAATTCATGGGGCACACCACACCCTGGCACAAACATCGGCCTCAGAACACGAACACTAACCCCTGTAGTGGAAGGAAAAACCATAGGCGGTAAAAAACACAAATTTTATGTACTGTAAAAGGAACTGGCTCGCAGAACATTGTACACCATTCATCTTCCTCCAGCCTTTTCATCTTCACAGGGACCCAAACTTAACAACAGTGTGATCCTGGTACAGCACTGGCATACTTTGAGCCAAGGCCAAAGAATCCCTGACAGAAAATGACTGAGAACGACAAGGAAACTACCCCCCTCTTGTGGTCAGATTTAAAAAAGAAAAGTTTTGAGACTATATTTTCCTACAAGGGCATCTGGTTCATTCCTTCCTGCTGAAAATGTCCCGAAGGAATATTTTGCGTTATGAATGAATGTAGAGGGCAGACAAATGGAAATGAGCAGACATAAAGACAAACACATGAGCAGAGATGTACTGTATGCGGTTTTATTCCCGCCCTCTAACCGTTTGAGATGGCGGCACATGAACTGCAGTGTGTCATGGTTTGGAGGAGGCATGTTAAGCACCAGACACTTCAAACGATCCACTTTGTCCATGTAGTCCGACATCTCTGCAACACAGAGCGAGAGTCAGATCACAATAAATATTATGATTTGCATTCCATTTCATGTACTTCATTAGCGTAGGAAACTTGATTTACACCCAAAAACTGATATCACATGTCCTCTATTAGCATCCACTATCTAATCTGATACAGCGGCATGCAATTATCAGCTATCACCACTGTGATTTGATGAACGGTTGATTAGTCCCCGGGCTCACATTGTGCATAAAAAAAAGTTCAGATTGATAAGAAACAGAGTTCATACCAAGAATGTATTTCTAATTGTTATTCATTTTTCTTAATATTTAAGTTTTCTTCCTGACTGTAATTTATTTTGAAATGCCAGATTATCTACTGTTTTAGAAGTAAAAGATAATATGATAAGCTGCTGTATCACAGGAGTTTATGTAAATTAAATGATTAAGAACACAGTTAAAGGAAAAGTTTGATGATATTCTATTTTCTTTTGCTGTTAACAACTAAAAAGTGTATGTAAGCCTGATTTGGTTTATTCCTCAGTGAAGTGGATCTTCATTGTTGTTCAAGACTATTAAAAACATCATTGAGCCACACTGCTGCACTGCATGACATGTTACTTCATTATGATGAGGACATGGGCACAATTTTGAGTCAGTTCCACATGTGAATACATCCTGAAATAGTCCACCTACAAATTCACTACTTGTTTCTTTTTGAGTAACCTTTGCTTGCTTAAACCTACTGTGCCCCATTTTTTTAGGAACATTTTTGGCATTTAAAATAATCAAACTATATTTGTGGCAGCCGTTTAATGGTTTATGTTTGACTGGGCTGCCACAGACGGGGTATGGAAGTCGTAAAGTAGTAAAAGATGAACTAGCAGATTGTTGGTTTTGGTCCTTTCATGGCATTTATTGAAAAAAAAAACAGAATAATGCCAGCCTTATCTTTTAAATAAAGGGGCCCTAATTCAAATATGATTCTAATATAATATTTGCATATAAGTTGAGGATTATGGAAGTCGTGTGGAAAGTTTATAAGTTTTTATATTGTGAGGATTTTTTTTTTTGCAGTAAAAGCATCATTTCATTTTAATTCAATACTGCTCAATAAATTGCAGTTTTGTCAGTGTGCAATTAGTCTTCTCTTGCCTTGGAATTAATGCAATTTTCTTTTTGGGACGCAACATTTTATTTTACTGTGTCCATATATCTTTCAAGATGTATATATGGTGTTGTGCAACAGCTTCTAGAGGTGGGGAAAAGCGCTGTAAACAAACTACATTCTATAATGAAGAAAATGACCTCAGCCACAGCTTGACAAAGTGTGAAAGTGCCCAAGTTAAGCAGGTGGGTGAACTCCCCAACCAGGACGGGTTTTGACTCATTAAAACCACAGCAGTGTTGTGAGTATTCAAAATAAAAGCAAAAAAATAATGATTTGAGATTTGAAAATCTTGTGGCCCCGAGGTTTAAGACGCTGATTATGTAAATGCAACATCCCCAGTTTGAGTCTGGACAGGGACTTTTTATGCCTATCATATACCATATATACTATCTCTTTTCCCTCATTTCCTGTCTGCTTTCTACAACACACAATCAAATAAATGGCAATAAATGCCATTATATTATAAGAAAACTATATCTTATGATAAGGTCTCTCCACAAATATGAAGGTGATTATTTGCTTTGTAATAAAAATATATATTTTATTTCAAACAAACTTTGTGAGCCATGGTAAGATAACTAAAGAGAGGGACTTAAATGTCTATCTCAGACTGATCAAAGATAAGTTTTATGAGTGCATATACAAAAAAAAATAAACAGCCTAAGGCTGAAGCTGCTCACTCACTGACTGTCTCCACGATGTCGGTGAAGAAGCCGAAGGGCACCAGGGGCTCGGGAAGCTCGCGGAAGAAAAGTTTCAAAGCTCCTGTGATGACATGAATGTCCTCCCAATCACTGTCATCCAAATTCAGCTTCTCCTCTAAGAGACAGGGAGGGTGGAGGAGGGAGGGGTGGGGTGGTGAGGGGAACAGAGAGAAATTCAGACAGACAGGGTCAGAGGAAGTGAACGAAAGGCAAGGCAATGTGAAAAGAGACAGACAAAGAGTGAGAATTAAGATAGAAAGAAGCGGATTTACAGTCACAGTATCATTTAGTGAACAACATAAACAGAGTAGAGTCTGAATTCACATCAGTGCTGAGGCATAACATGAAGGCTTTAGCTGCAGGACTGAGATAGATATGCTGTGTAAAAAGTAAGAGAAGACAAAGAGGCACAAACACACTCTAAATCACACACAAACACATGTAAAGCACACATTTTCTTACAACCCAGGCCTGACAAATGCTTCTCACACGGGATCATAAGAACCAAATGGAAGAAAATAAGGAGCTTTAATTTGACCTCAATATGAAGAAGCTCAATATTTCAACAATACAAACAAGCATCTAATGATGAGAAACATTAGTCAGAGAGACGTTGCTGTGGGATTAAAGCAGGTGATTCTCCGTTTCGTCCACTTGGTGGCAGCTGTGGACTGTGTGAGAACTCGCTGTACAATCTGCTGCCTGTTATTACATCAGACAACTTAAAGCAGAAAAGCCTAAGGGACACACATACATTAAGCAAACGGCACAACCACCAAACTGCTCGGCGCTGCAGCTTGGCGCTGCGTATCAGGCTGTTGGTGGGTTTTCGGGGGGAGTTTTTGACTGAGGTGATCACATTATGCAACACATGATGCACAGAACAAGCAGGCTGAGTAACAAAAACGTGAAAGTGGATGTTTTCTTCGTCAGTCTGAATCTACCTTGTACCAACTCCGCTGGGAACATGTAACGGCCGTCAGTAGTCACCGCTCGCTCTGCAAAAACCAAAAGTTACTCAATGGGTTTTCCTCAGCGTCCACTTTATCAAAAGGATGTCATGTAGTGGGAACGAGATAATCACAGGCTGCAAGCAGGTATACAGTGAGTGTTTGTGTGTTGTGGTTACACAACATGATGTGTCATCAGAGAGGACAGAACAGCATCATATGGCATTTATCTTTACTGCAAAAAGGGGAAGGGATACAATTTAATGATTTCTGAGAAATGCCAGAGAAGTCCAACTTCTCATTCATTGTCAAAGACAAAATTTAAAGTGTCAGTTTTTTCCTCCTCCTCCCCTTCATCCTCACCGTGATCCACCAGGAAGCGTAGTTTCTGAATCACTGCGAGGTTCCCTGACACTCTGTAGATACCGTCAGTCTCCAGTCCTGCAAACAGACCACCAGAGAGCTGGTTAGATCAGGGGATCTCCACACATTTACCAATATTTAAAACTTGAATTTATGAATGTAAGATAAAAAACTGTTAAAACAGTCATGGCTGATTTATAATTGATTTGTATTTTCTGCACATCAATAATTTAGTGTGCCAAGGAGGTTTGTTTTGTTGCATAAAAACATATGAATAAAGTAAAACAAAAGCACATTGTGACGTCAAAAAAAAAAAAAAGTTACATTTTGTATGTTCACATGACCTACCTATGAGTAGTTTTAAACTTCCTCTTAATATTTTATAGCATAAGTCATCTGACAAATCGCCTACAAGGTTTTGTTATGACATTGAGTTTCTGCTTTTTCCACACTGGTTTCAATGTCAGAAGGTTTAGAACAAGTCAGACTTTTATGATACATTGATTATTAATAACCTATCAGAGCTTTGGTTTTAAAATACAGTGTCACAAGTCACAAGGAGCCACTGACAGACACCTAATGTATCATGGTACTGTTAGAAAACGTACAGCATTCATTCACTTGGACAAAAAACTGTAACTTTGCAGCAGCTTACAGGCAAAAGATTGTAGCAGAATTTTGATTATTAGTTGATTATCTTTTGTTTCCTTGTTATTGCGTTCATCCCAAATATTTTAATTGGCCAAGCTAAGTTCCTCTTAACTGTAGGCGAGGGCTTTATAATCTGTCTAAGAGCTGAAATGATCAGTCAATTAATCAAATAGTCGATGGACAGAAAATTTTTCATTATTCATGTGATAATGTCATTTTTAAAGAAACAATTATCCTTCAGATAAGGTGAAAACATTAAACAAAACACCATTTAATAGTGCAAAAAAAGGCGCGAAAAATCAGGAAGAGAAACATGGACCTCAATATTATTAACACAGTAGTCCCTATACTGGTAATAGGAGAAAAATCTAAATAATTGTCGGTGAAAGTTCTCAGTCATCCAGGTCATAGTTATCCTTGAAGATGTTTCCTCCCTCATCCAAGAGATAAGATGATCGATCCCACTGGTTTGTTAGTGCTCCTGTTGTTACAACATCCAGGAGCACTAACGAACCAGTGGTATCAATCATCTGGACAACGACCGCACAGAGGTTAAATACCGGGTTTCCCTAACAGTCAGTCAGAAATGAAGAAGTCTCTTGGATGAGGGACAAAACATCTTTGAGTATCTTCAACCAAGTCAAGTTGCCCTTGATTTTAACCTTCCTTGATTAAAAAAATAATTCTTCTTTCTATTTTTTCAGAAGCTGCTTTGTCCTAAAGGGTTTGTAGTCTGTCCCAGCATTGAGTATAAATGTCTCAATCTGAAACTTCTCCCTAGAAATATTTAATTCATCAAAACCAGGTTTTTAAAGCCGTTGCTGTGTGTATTAAATATTGATTAGAAGCATCGTTTCTAAACAGTTTCCAAACAACTCCATTTTCTCTCATTTAGATCTCTCTCTGGCTGGCAGCTGTCATGACATCTTCTCTGCGCGTTTTAGTCGGGCAATCACAAACATTTTTCAGTAAATGTTTGTCGGGTGATTTCTATCACGGAGCTGAACAGCGGGGTGCAGAACTGCTGTCAAGTGACTGATGCTCCAAACAAGATTGAGGTTGTTTTCTCATGTGTCCACATTTAAGTTGAGAATCACATTAGCAGGAGCCGGCTGCATGTCTGCAGCGACTGTACCTCTCCTCTCCACAGCCTCAGTACAAAGTCTGACAAAGCGAGGGACGGTGCTCTTCTCTCTCTCGCAGAGCATCTCCAGACGACAGCCAAACACCTGATCTGAAGGGCGATGACAGACGGACACAAACACACACGCAAACACACTTTTATTATGTCAGTTCAGAATGTTTTTTTCCCTCAGATAACTGTGCCAAGACATGATGTAAGAGCTACAAGCTCAAGTTAATCTAGTGATACATTTACGGTTCTCTGTGGAAGAAAACCCCATGTTCCCAGCAGAGACGTGAACTAACCCTCGATGATGCAATGTAACTGTGCTGCATACACTCTAGGGTGAAAAAAAATCATACACCTTTACTCCAGAGTGTGCTACCATTATCCTGTTAATCATACTGTGTTATCTCTAATAAAGACTGTGATGACCTTGAAAACATCATTTAAAAAAATGAAAACTGCAATCAGTCTATTTCCAAACATACTTCCAAAGTCGCGGTGAAAGTATCTGCAGATTCATCATTTTGTTAAAAATCTATGGATGCTTCCATTCAACTGAACGGCTTCTTCAGTTATAATGACATGCCCTGTTCCGCCTCCTGTAGTGGCTGAGGACGAGCTTACAAACACAGTTGGCAGTCTGACAAAGCCTTCAGGGAGCTGCAGCTGTTCCATGCTAACCAAATAATTATTTATTTATTAAAATGATGAGGTCACTGCATGTCACCTCACTATGAAATAAAGGTAGAAATGCTAGAAATAAAGACTTAAACTAAGGTGCTTGGAATATTTTTTACTTTTAGAATATGGACAAAAAAGGAACAAGTTTAAGGCAAGTGTTGTAAAAGAGTTAATGTTTGTTTCTTTAACTTTTTACCCTCTTCCTTCTCTCTTGCACTGATTAGCTGCAAATATTGCACATTTTCAGGATCTTGCTTTGTACTTCAAGTGAAGTCTTATGGAAGTGGCTGTGGCTGTAGGCTAATAAAATATTTGCTTTATCTTGTTAAACAGTTATGAGAATAAGGAATCGCAGAAAGACTCATTATTGTTATTATCTGTGATGAAAAGGAGTTCATGCACGGATGGGAGACACACTTGATGAAAATTGACAATTTAAAGGAAAAACCAATATAAAGTGCATTAGTAAGGGTAGATCATGATTATCCAAGTCTCTGAACTCTACTAAAGGGATGAACAGCGTTCTTCCAAATAATATTCCCCTGTTGTTGATGCTTTACCCACACATCCATTTTGTAAAATCATATAATAAAATATTGATTCTAATATGATTTTTATACTTAAACCATTCAGTGTACCCTACATGGAAACACCGGCATCATTAAGTCCCCCCACTCATTTCATTTAATAAAACCTTTCCTTTAATTTGTCACCTATTTGTAATTTACTTTGCTTAGAATAAGGAAAGAAACTAATGCAAAGCCTTTAAGACAGATCTATAAAAGTTACATTAGTGTTGTAATCAGCACAAGCAGTGTGAAAAACTTGAAGAAGCTCTTATTTTACAGATGAGGAGGATTGCGATGCACATTCGCTAGGGGATGTGGCATTGCTGCAGGATAAATGCTGATATTTCCTGCCAGTCATTACAACTGCAGCTTAGTTTAATGGCAAAATATGTTTTAACTTCACAACAAAAAGTTCTGCGGATAGTTTTAGCTGTAGAAGTGCAGTCTTGTAATATTACCAGCTCAGCAAAAAAGAACACCCACCTCCATCATTCACCACTGCGCCGCACACTGCTGTATGAAGGATGCTTGCAATAAAAATGGTGTAAGACATCAAAAAGAAATCTCACCTTTAATGAGCCCTTTCTCCTGCAGCGTCTGCAGAGGAGGTCTCTTTAGGATCAGCTTCTTCAGCCGAGTCTTCACTCTCTTCCTCTCTGTGTTTTCCAGGTTGGACGACGAGCGAGGGACTGCAGAGGGAGGAAAGGAGGAGGAGGAAGAGAAGGAGGAAGAGGAGGAGGTCAGTGCGGGGCGTGCGGCTGCGGGGCAGCTGAGCAGATGAGAGGGGATGGTGGTGAGGACGAAAAGCGGGAGGGCCGGGCGGCGGCGGAGGTGTGACAGGACTGACGGGGGAATTATTTGCCACGGGGGCCGCGTGAAAATGTAAGTGGGCTGGATGGAGGAGAGAATGGACGAGAGGATGGAGGGATGTAAGAAGCCTGTGTGGAAGTTTGGAGAAAAAGAGTGATGATGATGGAGCAAGAGGACGTGAGTAAACTGAGGTAGAGGGTGAACGGTTTCATGAGAAAGGTCGTGTGAAGGAAGGAATGGAGCGATGACTTACACGACATTCTCCTCTCATCCTCGTCTCCACTGTGGTCCAGCATCTCCACACTGCCCGCTCGCCTCAGAGAGTACAGAAGGACGTTGTCTATTGGGTTTTCACGGTCCTGGAGGGCAGGCAGAGTGAAATAGCGCTCATTTAGCATTAACTGCATCAGATACAAACATTATACCACATACCGTTTAAAGCATCTTTTCAAACTGGCATTTATTGAGGCATTTACACACTGACAAAAACAAGTGCAGGTAATTTGCGCAGGCTACCAAAATTAAGCTTTAATTTAGAGATTATCTGAGAGTGGATTATAATGAGAGTTTAAAATGTCTACATCTGTTTACAATAAATGGGTTGATTTGATTTTATTAAGAAACATTTTTGACAAGAATCTCTTTGGAATGGTTCTTAAACCCACAATTTTTAAATCAATGTTGGCCACTTGGGGGCCGTAAACACAGCTTTGACATTTTATTACATAGAAAGTTGTTATGGCAAACATGTTAGCGAAGAGTTGCTTATTTACACATACAGCACTTACAGAACAACATTCATTGAGAGTCGTGGTTTTGGCCACCTGATGAATGTAAATCAAACATTCACTCTTCTTTTAGCTCTCTCTCCACCAACTCCTGAGGGAAATATCTGTCTCTTGTCTCTAGCTGCTAAATGTTCCATTGTGTTCACCAGCTAGTCACTAACTTAGTCTGTCTGCTGTTTGGGCCTGGGCAGGTGGTGTACAGTAGGTTTGTAGAGTTTTTTTTTAACTTAAGATAGCTGCCTTCTGCTGGAAATGGTGTTGATGAGAGAGGTGAGACTGACCCAAACAATAAGTTTACAGACAAGAAAACTAAAACACTGAGCTAAAACATAGATTACAAAATGTCAACAGTGAGCTTTAGTGGACTAACTATGTAATGTCAACTGTTCTTTGGATTTTGTATTTCTGTTGAATATTTTTTTGATACTTACTGGCTGTAATCGACCCCATACAGATATACCTCTAATGATAAAATTGTCTGATAATGTCAGCCATGCTGATTTATCGGTATGGCTCTACTTGAATTATTCACCAGGTTGAGTGAGCTTGAGTAATCCACCAAGTAAACAAAAAAAAGTGTAAGCTAGGATTTTCCTTAATTTAAAAAAATCTATTTTCTATAACTTTAATATTTCTAAACCAGGCCCTGCAGCTGTATTTCAAATTTCAATGGGTACATGAAGCCTTTTACCGTCAATAATTATAATGTCTCCATTTATACAACATTCAAACTCCTTTCATATTTGCTATATAAATCTTTTTTTTTTTAAACTTGAATAGTTATCCTGTCAAGCAGTTTTATATATCGCACGTTTCATACACATGAAAGAGAATTCAGAGTTCTTAACATCAGGCTTAAATTACACTACATGTGAAATAGATTATATAGACACAATGAAAGGGTAGAAACTAAATCTAAAAGAAAATAAAAACAACAAAAAGAAACAAAAACAGGAAGGAGTTCAGGGATGTGGATAACTGTGTTTCGAAAAAAGGCAGTGGAGAACATAAAGCTTTTATAGTGAGGGGCATTTTACCACTAAAAGAGAAGTGGCACATTGAAAGTACAACTCTACGTGTGTTGTGTGTTTTGTGTCTCACCAGCCTGTCGATGACGTTCTGTATGGTGCTGTACCACTCTTTGATCAGAGAGTCTGTCTCCGACTGCAGCAGGAACTCGTTGCCTGTCACAGTCCTCAGCTACAACGCACACATTTTTAAACCACAACAATGTATGATTAACTTTCCCCAAAGTTCCCCAATCAGGGTAGAAATTATTTAATTTTAAAGGCAGTACTGCACTCACAGTTATTGTTCACTGGAAAATGTACATTTTCTGCTTCCCCTTGCTCACTGAGGGTCACTGTTGAGTGACCGGTGAAAAAAAGCTTCCCACTCTCACTTCCCAAACTGATAAGGACTTTTTGCTGACAGAAATATGATTCTATATTTTACTGCTTATCAGTTACCACTGTACATCAACTCACAGCAACAATTTTTGGGTAGTTATGGCTCAAAAGTTAGTTAGTTAGAATCCTGCAAATCAAATCCTCAGACCGGCAGGATAACATCTGGGTGTGGAAAGTAAACTAAGCAGTGCTCCATCATTTACCACCACTAAGGTGCCCTTGAGAAAGGCCCATAACCCCGGGCTGCAGTTGTACTGGGCAGCTTACTGCTCACTTCTAACTTCTTGAATTTGTCAAGAATGAGAGTTTGAGGATTTTCAAATAAGATCTTTTGATAGTGTGATGTTCTTTTAATTAGGTTTTCTGATTTTCTTACTTTGAAGACGTTCTTCTTGCTGGACAGCTCGTTGGCCCAGTGCAGCTGTGCTCCTCTTAAATCCACACTGCTCTCAGGGCGACTGTTTCCTGGTTTCTGTTTTCAATATAAAAAAAACAAACAGGTAAGAAAGGTAAGAAATCATGTTTTGTCCTATTTTCTAAACACTTCGTTGGCTGAATAGACCCATATGTGCTACTAAAATAGAGTTTGGGTATTTTTTCTGCACAGTATTTGTGGGCAACCACTTTCCCACACAACACCTGCAACAGGTTTATATGACCTTTTTATGATCGGAAGGGTTGGTGTTGATGACCTTTCACTGCAAGGTCCCATGAAGAGAAAGTGAAAAATATGTAGAAATGTATACAAAATAGTGGACAGAAATATCCAGCTGTGTGGATTGTTAAAAGCTACTGAGCTTTGTGTGACAGACCAGTCAGCTAACTTCAAAAATGACTACACAATGTTTAATTCTAATATGAGAAAGTCCACCATTCAGTAAAACTGACACCTGAACTTGCAAAATGACTCACGAGAGTTGGCTGAGGATTAAGAACTTAGCTTCATGATAATGATGTTGACGATTTTCCACCCAGTTTTAAAAAATCTTTTATTGGAAAACAAAGCTAATTGATGTTACTGCAAAGACATGAACTGGATTAAAATAATTACACACAGAGTTTGTCTGAGCTCTTACCCAGCTGGAAGGTGTCTGTGATTTAGGATCTTTGAAGAAAACCAGACTATTCCCGACCAACACCACCCAGGAAGGGCTCCAATTTTTCCTGCAACACGCGTGTACGGGTCAGACAAGATTCAGAACAGAAAATCATACTTGCCTTCATTTATTCAAACACTATATTCATACAAATGCAATGTACAGATTGAATGTAATTTAACTTTTTTGTCTTTAATGGGAGCAGCCTGTTGACAACTCACCTCAGTTTCCGACCTCCCTCGGCGATCTTTGTCTTGTTCAGGAGGCCGGCTTTCTCCAACTCCTGAGAACACATTAAAAGGGATTAGTGCATTCAAATCTGCAATATTCAAGAACTAATATTTATACTGTCACACTGTTGTTATAACTCAGAGGGGGCAATAAGAGTAATAAGAGTATGTGTGGACAACTTGAAATGTTAACAGTAAAAGTACAGCAGAGGGGTTTTCCTCTGTGTAATATACTGCATCCTGAGCTAACCCATTTAACTTGACTGTTGCATCATTCAAAAAATAGCAGGAGGGGGGTTGCTCTAAAGTCTCCCACTGCGGTGTGGCCCCGTTTAAGCTGCAAGAGAATAGAATTAATACTAACTATGAAGTTATAAGTTTTGAGTACAGTATATAAAGACAGTGAGGAACAAAGAAAAAAGGAAAGCTATTTGTATTTAGTTTACTTTATTTACATAGGTAGAGACAGCCATGCTGAGTCAAGCTCAAATAATCAAGTGCAACATCTTTCTCCAGATACAGTTACTCAGATGCATCCATCCTGGACAAATATCTGTGTTAGTTTGTATATGAAACAGAAATGCACAGAAAATGTTAATGCTATGTTTAAAACAAATTGTCCATGTTGTTTTTCCTCAGAAAACCTCCAAGGTCAGTAGAAGAGTTACCAGAGCTTTATGGCGACTGCCTTGTTTTTTTGCCACTATATGTTGGGGAGAGCATTACTGCCAAGAACAGATACAGGATTAAAATGTTGGCTGGTGAGTGAGGGGTTAAAGGTGACCAAATGCTCCTCAAAATGTTTTTGAAGGTAGTGTGTGCCCATTGTCTGTCTATATATAATATTAAATCAATATTATACTCATGTAGAGGTAATTTTATTTCCAAAGTAATAATCAGTTTTCTCACTGGTGTGCAACCATCGCTGTCCGGAGAGCTCTCGGGAGACGGAGGCTCCACGACGATGTTGGTCATGTTACAGGAGTAATCTTTGCACTGCTGGACCAGCTGAAAGACAGAAAGCGGGCATCATCGGCTGTGTTCATTTGTCTGTTCATATGTACACGTGCATGTGTCCAGTGTTATGTGTTGACCTTCAGCACTTTTTCTCTCTGCATGTCTGTGAACACACCGTTTTTGACCCTGTGTGTATGTGCTCTGGAGGTGAATACCTTGCCGTTCTCAGGCAGGATCATAGATTGGGAGTAGCTGAGCTGCTGCTTGACATCATGCAGGGGGCCAGAGTTATGGAACTGGGCATTGGCACTGCTGAACGCCATCGTGCTGAGGGTGTCAGAAGAGGCGGCACGCTGCATGCTCTTCACAGGGGTTAAAGGTCAGGGTCAAATATTTGGGCGAGTGGTGAAAGTTAGAACAGACAAATATAGGAAAGGGCAATCACTGATTTAATAAATGCAATATGCTCCTGTTGTATTTTTACATCTGTAGATCTTGTTTAAAGCTGTATGTTTATTTTCTTCTGAATAACTTTATTGACTCTATAGAGGAACCTTGTTTTTGTAGTATATTTACTGTATATTTTAGATTTTAGCTAATGCTCTCGCCTAGAGCAACCTTGAATGAGTGCAGCAGTATAATCAGCATAAATCCCCAAACAATTAAAATCACAAACAAGCAACAGTAAGGAGCAACAGAAAGGTCAGGGCCTTTTACAAAAATTAAACATACAGTTTCTCCCCTAACTTCTTCAGTACCTATACTGAGATACTGTTGGTAACAACTGAGATCAATTTACTAACAAGCATGCAAAACTCGCAACACAATCAACATCTTCTATTTGTACAAAACTTTTGGTTTAGATTTTGTGCAGTGAAGAATTACCATACATACATATACTAACACCACAAGCAGTAATTTGTCTTCATTGCTGTTTTTACTCTCATGTGCTCTTTCAACATTTAACCCTATGTTATACCCACAGTAAGATGAGGAACTTTTGATAAATATTTGTGGACTTTTTGGTTATTCTTGCTACAGTGGATGTATTTTGTTATTCACAGATGATATATTTGTTTTTCTGACTGATGGACAAATGAAAGGTCTAATCTAAACATAATTTGTTTAGATTATAAAGTCCCACAGTCTGGGCACCCAATGCTGGCTTGCAATTTTTACTCAGAAATCTAAATGTCACCTCACACAGACCAACAGTTGATCACACTTCTTCAGCACCAGCACTTGACAAAGATAAGAGACCAGGTTTTCTTATGTTTGTCTGCCCTCAGTTCCCTAAGGTCACAGTGGTAGCCATTGTGAAACCCTCTGCCATCAATGTCAGATCAATTCTGAATTTATTTGCACTGACAGACAATACAGCATGAGCACTTCACACACTGGGTCAGACTGCCGGTCCCTTCAGAGACGAGAGACGGCGAGTCAGAGACCATGCATCTGCTCTTTACATGCAAAACATTTATGCTTACAACCTAGCGTATGTACATGTACATAAGTAAGCATGATCACACACAAATGCACAAATTCACACAACTTTCATGCAGAAACACCCATAATTAAGTACCTTTCCCAATCCCTGTAACCTAGTTTCAACAATCAGACTAAATATCCCTCCTAATGTTTGCCATCTTTTAATGCAAGAAGGATTAGCACTAAGAGCCAAATCTGCTCCTTTGCTAAGAGGAGGTCTTTGAAACGGCTTTAAACCAAGCGCACCCACACCCCACTGTGATGCAACATGTTGCAGTAAGAACTGCTTGGGTAACAGCCTTTGTTTTTACACCATGAGTTGCTATTTCACCACCTTAATATGCATAAATGCTGATCTCCGAGAATCTAAAAAGCATAGCTGGCATTACTTTAATGTATTTTACAATAGTACAGTGGAGATGCAGTTTTTGCAAATCTAACGACTCGAGTTCATTGATTTTCATGAGGAAAATACCCTCCATCAAAAGCCCTTCAAGCGCTGAAAAAACCCTTACCTCCCAGTCAAGCATGTGAACAATAACAAGGAAAGAGTTGTCAGCTAAACACTTTTAAAAGAAGAATAGGCAAGTAATCTATAGATATTTATGTACAGTTCCGGTGGTTGACGTGGAAACATATCTTACAAAGTCAAGGTGACAAACTACACCACCAGAATAGTATGACGTCCTGTTTTACATCCTGTTGTGAAGGGAGAATATGTAAACCTGGCACTTAGCTTCTACTTTACCCTTTGACGGGTGTTTTTTACAAGGTGAAAGTCAAGGTGAAATGCATTAGACGCCCTCTGGCGATGAAAGAATGCAGCAGGTAGTGTTTTACCTGTTTCATCTGCCAGCCACTGTCAGTATTCCTCTGGTGGCTCTCAAAGAGAAAGTCAGGTGACAGCTGGCGAGGAAGAAGACAGAGATAGAGAGAGAGAGGAAAACAAAGTCAGGAAACACAGACGAGCAGATGTTATTTAAATGTCCTTTTAATTTAAAACAAAATTCAATACTATTTTCTGAATAACTGAGCTGCAAAAATTATCAAAGCATGTTTCACTTTTTAATGTTTCTGTCAGTTCATTGCAAAAACTACACAAAAATCCAAAATGGCAGCAATTTGACCGGCGTGTAAAACAGGATGCTGACAAATGTGTTCAGTTAAGATCAGCCACAAAGCCCGGGCTAACGGTCACGCCAACACCGAAAGTACTCCTCTGCCCCCGTTACATCCTGCCTGCTAAAATGTTCTTTGATTCGCCAGCACAGCACAGAGGTACACACAAACGCACACACACACACACACACACACACACACACACACACGTGCCCGTATTTAACTGAAGATAATAAGAGGCAGTTGCTGCCGTTGCTCAGTAAGAGTGAAACACACACTGTAATAGTACTTGTTTCACTCAAGCATGCTGATTTTTAGTTACTGAACTGAATCGCAAACATCCATAAATAGTCATACCAGCTTGCTGAAAGAAAGACAAAGTCAGAATCAACACTTCTGACAATGAAAAGCCACGTAAGTGAACTATATTTCACATCAATAATGACATAGAATGAAACCATCAGCACAACTAAGTAAACAATATTGGGTTAAGAAATTAAAATGAACTCACAGCATAGGCGCTCATGATCACTGATCACTCCGTTATACAATGCAGCTCACTCTGGTTTCTGAGAGCTTTTTTCCTCGTGTCGTGTTTAAGTTCTCAGCCATTTCATGTCATGACACTTTTTCGCCTGAGTGTCAAAATGTAAAAACCATTCATCTCGCCCTCCTGTCTCAGCATGCATCTACTTCCCCATTTTAGAGGGAAGCTGGCTTTATCAAATGGTACAATCACTCTCATGTAAAGCAGCTCAGAATAAACACAATAGAACTTTATCTTATACTGTGTCCAAATTTACCAAAGATAAAACTAATCACAATGAATAATACCACTTTTTTTGCTTTAAAATGGATTGCTGGATTACTATTACTGGTACCTGGTAGGTGGAAAGACTGTGGAGTAGCTCAGCTAATTTGACAAAAATAGAAATTGTGATGATAGAAAAGAGCAGAAATATCCACACATTTGCGTTTAGGAGGATAATTAATGCACACACATCGGATTACAAATTGGTGTGAGGCTCATCTTTGGTATATTTATTCTTCACAAGACACGCCTCCCATCAACATGAATCAGTATTAACTCCTTAATAACGCCTGCTGAGGTCAAGAGCGTGTTGAGCCAGGAGCAGAGACATAAAATAGACGACTAAGTAAAGGATAATAGTAGAAATGAAATGTACAAATGCAAACATGAGTAATACTACATGAAAAAAGGAGACCCAGCCTAATAAACAACAAATCCAGGATCACACTGTTTTGTATGAAAATATATTATAACAGTTATAACAGTTTTAAATAATTCAATACATTAAAATTGTCACAGCCAGTGCTGTGGCTCTGGGTGTTACTCTTGTGTTTACCCTCCCTTTCGTATGTGTGTGTGTGTGTGTGTCTGCGGGCATGATCTCGTCACACCTGGCAGTAATCATCCAATCAACCATCCAGGTCAAATACTCCTGGCTTCCTGAAGCTCACTGACAGGTTATTCCTGTCCTCAAGTGGTAGAGAAGCTTGGCCAATTAGTAGTTTATCATGTTATTCTTCCTTTAAAGTAAACCTCATTGTGTTGTGACTTTTAACTTTTACCTTGCGGTCTATTGTGTTCTGTGTCTGCTTTTGGGTCTGCTTATTACAAAAACATAATACAAATAATACATGGGCAAAGTTAGTAGTAATAATAAGTAACTGTACCTGTCAATTAGGGCTGCAACTAACAATCTTGATGGATTATTAGTTGTTTTGTCTATAAAATGTCAGGGCAAAAAAAAGTGAAAATCTCTCTCATTTCGTTTGTCTGACCAACAACTCAAGAACCAAAAATAATTCATTTACAATGATATAAAAAAAAAAGAAAAGCAGCAAATCCTCATATTTGAGAAGCTGGAACCAGAGAATGGTTAACGTTTTGCTCAAAGATTAACTTGAACGATTAATTAACCAATTAATCAAAATAATTTTTTCTGTTTGACTAAGAAATTAATCGTCTAATCGTTTTTCCTTTACTGACAAAAATACAGAATATGTTGAGGAGTAATAAGTTAAAAAAAATAATCCCTCTTGGAGCAGAATATAAAAGTGAAATACAGGCACAAGTACCTGAAAATTGTGTTTAAGCACAGCAGTTGAGTAAATGTACTTATTCACTTTCGATAATTGCACATACAGTCCCCTCCAAAAGTATTGTAACAGTAATTTATGGTAAGGCAAATTCCTTTGTTTTTCACTGAAGACATTTGGTTTTAAGATCAAAAGATGAGTATGAGACAAGAGTTCAGAATTTCAGCTTTTATTTCCCGGTATTCACATCTAGATGTGTTAAACAACTTAGGACATATCTTAGGTGAGCAAAAGTAATGGAACATCCATTGTCAACCGCTTATCCTGCGTACAGGGTTGCGGGGGGGGCTGGAGCCAATCCCAGCTGACATCAAGCACAAGGCAGGGTACACCCTGGACAGGTCGCCAGGACATAGACAAACAACCACTCACGCTCAATTTAGGGTCACCATCCACAGGTCTTTGGAGGAAGCTGGAGCACCCAGAGAGAACATGCAAACTCCACACAGAAAGGCCGGGGTTTGAACCCACAACCTTCTTGCTGTGAGGCGACAGCGTTAACCACTGCACCACCGTGCCCAGTAATGGAACAAATAATCTTAAAGTAAATAACATTTAATATTTGGTGGCATAACCCTTGCTTGCAATAAGTGCCTCAAGCCTGCGACCCATTGACATCACCAAACTGTTGCATTCTTAATTTGTGATGCTATTCCAGGCTTTTACGCAGTTTCTTTCACTTCTTGTTTGTTTCGGGTTGTTTCTCCACTCAGTCTCCTCTTAAGGAGGTGAAATGCATGCTCTATTGGATTAAGGTCAGGTGATTGACTTGGCCAGTCTAAAAGCTTCCACTTTTTTCCCCTGATGAAGTCCTTTGTTTTGTTGGCAGTGTGCTTTGGGTCATTGTCCTGCTGCATGATAAACTTCCACCCGATTAGTTTCAATGCATTTCTTTATTTAAATTGGCCGACAAAATGTTTCTGTACAGTTCTGAATTCATTCTGCTGCTACCATCATCAGTTACATCATCAATAAATATGAATGAGCCTGTTGCAGAAGCAGTCATGCACGCCCAAGCCATGACATTACCTCCACCATGCTTCACAGATGAGCTTGTATGCTTCGGATCATAAGCAGTTCCTTTCTTTCTCCACACTTTGGCCTTTCCATCACTTCATCAGTCCATAAGATTGTGCTGCAGAACTTTTGTGGGTCATCTCTGTACATCTTAGCAAATTTCACTCTGGCCTTCCGATTCTTACTGCTGATGAGTGGTTTGCATCTTGTGGTGTGGCCTCTATATTTCTGCTCTCTGAGTCTTCTTCCAACAGCGGATTGTGATACCTTCACCCCTGCACTGTGGAGGTCGTTGGTGATGTCACTTACTGATGTTTTGGGGCATTTTTTCACAGCTCTCTACTGTCAACTACTGTTGTTTTCCTTGGCCGACCTGTTTGACGTCTGTTGCTCAGTTTATCCTCTTTAACAGGAAATGCAGTCTTTATAGGTTTCAACCAAGGATGAAAACTTAGACTAGTCATGCAGAGCTATTTAATGTTTGGACAATCAACCTAAAAGGCAACACCTGGGCAACAAGAAACATCTGTCAGTCACATGTTCCAATACTTTTGCTCACTTGAAAAATGGGTGGGTTCAAACAAAGGGTGGTATGTCCTGAGTTGTTTAACACATCTAGATGTGAATACCACGAAATGAGAGCTGAAATTCTGAACTCTTGTCTCATATTCTGTCTTCAGTGAACAACAAAAACAAAGGAATTTGCCTTACTGTTCCAATACTTTTGGAGGGGACTGTACATGAGCTCACAAAGGACAGGAAGGAGTCAACATGGTAAAGGTTAAAAAGGGGTTTTATAAATACGAATGTAGACTAGAAGACGCTGTGTGTGAACAAATAATATGGGTCACTTGGGTTTCAACACCTGGGTCATTAACTCGTGTAGCATGCAGTATGCATTATACATCATTGGGGAAGTTCCTATGTGGTAGTACGTGTATCACAGAATAAAAAGTGACACATATAGGTCAACAGAACACATCTCAAACTGACTTGATGAGGGAATTACTGCTTTGATCATTTGAGTATTTTTATTTTTTTTGAAGGGCAACATTAAATTTGAAACACTGACGCAACACTGAGGCAATGCAACTTTGAGATGCAAAATGCTAATCTCTAACAATCTGGATCATGCAGCTTGCATTGCTTTACTGCGTAGATGTTGTCATTGATTCAGTGGTCAGTTTCTGATGATGGCTATTGCAGAAAACTCCAAACCCTTTAACTTACATAACAGTGGTAGTTCCTCGCTCTGGGGCATACAAACACTTTCCTGTTACATCAAGTTTACAAAACTGGTGAAGTCAATGAAACAGGAAGTTTGACTATGACGGTATCTGTGAGGTCAGGGAGGGGTTTAAGGCTGATGAGACGTTTCAGTGAGTGGTTTAAATATAGCAAATGTTTTGTTTTGGATTTAAAAAACTCCTCTGTCTCTCTCTGTGTGGCTCTAATGGCTTCTGCTCATCTGCATCAGATCAAGAGGCATTACCTTGTTACTCCCTTCAGGGATCAGCCCAACAAAAACACCATTTGAGAGGAAGTGTGTGTCAGGGGACAGTTAATAAATAAATAAATAAGGCAGAGAAACGATGGGGCAACTAGAAAGATGTAATCCCCCTTTTTAATTTGGCCTCCGCTCAGCAATTCTCCCTGCTTTAATCTGGACACAGTCCTGGTCTAAACACTGTGTGCACCCTGGGTTACAGACAGACGCTGACAATAGATTCATATGTATAGAAACGGGCAGTGGGGTTTTTTTTTGTATCACTGTTGTTCTGTCTCTCGGTGTTCTTAGATGCCAAAGCACAGCAAAACAAAATGTTACCTAGAAAACGATTATTTAATACTCTTAATAATTACTTACATCACAGGACTGAGCAATAAGTTAAGAATATAAAAGCTTGATGGTTCTAAATGACTAATCAAAAAATCTAAACCAACTCAGACTAATCACTGACTTGGCACAAAGTATCATAAACACATTCCTCATCACCACATTGGTTCATTGTTCATTGATTACTGAATACAAGCTACAGAAAGTCTAAAGCCAATGTGTGGGCAGATATAAAAATACATACATATCTAAATTAGCAAATTAATTAATAAATAAAACATATTGACTACAAATCCATAAAAATGAACACATAGCTGCACTAACATGAGCAGACCTGACCGGCATTTGTGACAAAAGCAAAAGTACACATCGAGGTGTAACACACCTGAGCTTGAATGCTTAAATGCTGCAGCTAGAATCTTAACTAAAACAATAAAACAAATCCACTGACACAAAAATTACAGTATCTATATTTCATCCAAATGAAATGATTGGCTGGCCGATCTACACACTTACCGGCCTTCCTGCACACACTCTGCCTGTGCACTCATTGCGCACGAAAATGTGTTTTTGGGGGCGTGGCTTTGGAGGGAGGCTTGAAGGGAGGGTTTGGGATTTTGTTTTTGGTTGGATACTTTCAAAATCTAGCGGTCTGTCACTAGTTCTCTAACAGTGCCTACCCTAGCTTTAACATTCAGCGTTAGCGGCTTAATTTGTAACCTTTCCGGAAAGTCTCAGTCTCAATGGCCCTCATTTATCATTTTTGCGTAGAAACGGGCAAGCATGCGTTTTCTTGTTCTTTATTGTAGGTGGAAAAAAAAGTGGTCCGATACAAAGATCGCCACAAAGAGGCGCGTCTCGGCTCTGAAGAGGAGCCAGAGTCAGACTGGGGGAGGCCCACCGGATCACATTAATAATTGCATGACAATTTGTAATATTATTTTTATTATGACTTTTATTAGTAATGATGCTTATTGATATTTAGAAGAATATATATTTTTTATTATTTAAAAGAAGAAAGTCATTTTTATTTTTCAGTCTGAATTATTTTTTTATTCATTGAAAACCTTTCGTTACTGAACCCAGTCCGTGCGCACCTGCCGGGCCTAACCCTGAAACGTCAGGTAAAGCGCACAGGCTCCAGTGGGTATAGCTGAGCCCTGAGTACAGATTTATCCTGTCATCCATCATTCTGTTTAAGTGCAGTTATAGTTTTTGCATTGAAGCGGCTACAATTCCTACTATTGCGACATCAAGGGATGATGCTTACATTTTGTTTAATGCAAGATATTAGTCAAACGCTGAGAAAGAAAAACATAGACAAACCAATCTCGTTTTGCTTTAGAAACATCTTACACTCTTCAAAATGTCAAAGCAAAACACTGCAGAGAGAGGAAAAAAAAAAAAAACCTCAGATGGCATTTTGAATGCGCATTTGGGTGCTGACTTGTGGCTGGTTCCGTGAATCTGCAGCATGCATTTTTCTGTTTTTAGGCAATAATAGTCAGTTTGACCTGCAACTTTTATTTGTGTCACAGCCTATTTTTGTTTGGATATACACTGAAATAAAAGCAACCCCCAAAACTACAAATGCTTTGGTAAAGTCATACAAATTAAACATTGAACTCTGACACTGAAGTTTATAATTACTATAGGTGCTGGTCATATACTTAGAATATCATCAAAAAGTTGATTTATTTCAGTAATTCCATTCAAAAAGTGAAACTTGTATAATGTATACATTCATTCCACATAGACTGATATATTTCAAGTGTTCATTCCTTTTAATTTTGATGATTATAACTGACAACTAATGAAAACCCCAAAATCAGTATCTCAGAAAATTAGAATATTGTGAAAAGGTTCAATATTGAAGACACCTGGTGCCACACTCTAATCAGCTAATTAATTCAAAACACCTGCAAAGGCCTTTAAATAGTCTCTCAGTCTAGTTCTGTAGGCTACACAATCATGGGGAAGACTGCTGACTTGACAGCTGTCCAAAAGACGACCACTGACACCTTGCACAAGGAGGGCAAGACACAAAAGGTCATTGCTAAAGAGGCTGGCTGTTCAGAGCTCTATGTCCAAGTACATTAATAGAGAGGCGAAGGGAAGGAAAAGATGTGGTAGAAAAAGTGTACAAGCGATAGGGATAACTGCACCCTGGAGAGGATTGTGAAACAAAACCCATTCAAAAATGTGACGGAGATTCACAAAGAGTGGACTGCAGCTGGAGTCAGTGCTTCAAGAACCACCACGCACAGACATATGCCAGACACGGGTTTCAGCTGTTGCCTTCCTTGTGTCAAGCCATTCTTGAACAAGACACAGCGTCAGAAGCGTCTCGCCTGGGCTAAAGACAAAAAGGTCTGGACTTGCTGCTGAGTGGTCCAAAGTTATGTTCTCTGATGAAAGTAAATTTTGCATTTCCTTTGGAAATCAAGGTCCCAGAGTCTGGAGGAAGAGAGGAGAGGCACAGAATCCACATTGCTTGAAGTCCAGTGTAAAGTTTCCACAGTCAGTGATGGTTTGGGGTGCCATATCATCTGTTGGTGTTGCTCCAGTGTGTTTTCTGAGGTCAAGGTAGACGTCTACCAGGAAGTTTTAGAGCACTTCATGCTTCCTGCTGCTGACCAACTTTATGGAGGTGCAGATTTCATTTTCCAACAGGACTTGGCACCTGCACACAGTGCCAAAGCTACCAGTACCTGGTTTTAGGACCATGGTATCCCTGTTCTTAATTGGCCAGCAGACTTGCCTGACCTTAACCCTATAGAAAATCTATGGGGTATTGTGAAGAGGAAGATGCGATACCCCAGACCCAACAATGCAGAAGAGCTGAAGGCCACTATCAGAGCAACCTGGGCTCTCATAACACCTGAGCAGTGCCACAGACTGATCGACTCCATGCCACGCCGCATTGCTGCAGTAATTCAGGCAAAAAGAGCCCCAACTAAGTACTGAGTGCTGTACATGCTCATACTTTTCATGTTCATACTTTTCATTTGGCCAACATTTCTAAAAATCCTTTTTTTGTATTGGTCTTAAGTAATATTCTAATTTTCGGAGATACTGAATTTGGGATTTTCATTAGTTGTCAGTCTTAATGATCACAATTAAATGAAATAAACATTTGAATTATATCAGTCTGTGTGTAATGAATGAATGGAATTACTGAAATAAATCAACTTTTTGATGATATTCTAATTATATGACCAGCACCTGTATGTGTTTTTTTTTTTACAGTGGGTCATAATATATCTTTTCTTTCGTTTTTCTTGGGTGTGCATGTGTTGCTCTCTGTGGCTAGGTACAGGCGGGGGTGGAGTGACAACAATAGTAGCTGAGTAAGAGTTTATCCAATTAAGTATTGTGTCATTATGTGTGTGTGACTGTCATTTATTTTGTCACAACAGTCAAGGTCAAACTTCATCCTCATAATCCTAACACTCACATATCCTGTGATTACCGGCGTGGAAGGTGTTCCAATTACCAATGTAGGTACGGTAATTCAGATTCTAGTTTTTAAATAACACTAAATGTCATCAGGGAAGATGAATCTCACTACTTCTTTAGAAGCACAGTAATCTTACCCTGTGCACAGTTCCATTGCCAGCTTCAGAAAGTGGTAACGACAGATTGGTTCCTCTGGGTAACGTCTGAGGTTGTCCTGGACCGGCCTGTAAGAGAAACAGAAGAAAAAACAGATTGTGATAGGTCTTAGATACATTATTAGCTCAACTACATTAGATCAACCAACACTGAACACAAGTTTCACAAAGGCTAGATTTACTGAAGACTATTGTTGCTTGCACTATGTGGTGTATAACATATGTGCATTTGACCATTACAGTTTAACATAATGCTCTGTAGCTGGGGACAGTGAACCCTTATGGGGACAGTGAACCCTTAAGGGGAAGTAATGATTGATGGGTGTGCAAAGAGTGAACCCTTCTATGAAATTTGACCTCTGACCCAGTGGTAGGGGGAGTAGAGGTTAGTGTGTATGAAGGGACTGTGCCCTTATATGGTTTTTAGCAGAGACCTAAACATGTCCTATATAAGCTGTGTTCGATGTACAGAGAGACAGAGTGGTCATCGGGCTGGGTCACTCTCCAAGCTGCTGCAGAGCTTGTAATTGATGCTGAATTCTTTGATGTAATAAACTTTTATAATCAAGAACAGTGTCAAGCGGATTTCTTCTCAACACATCACGCAGCATTATCGTTCGGACACCACAACTATATTGTAAGTTTGTGTTATTTTGCTTTCTATAGATTTAGATATCAAATTAAAGCTGTCTGTCCATATTAATAACCTTTGGTTAGTTACTGTGCAATATTTATATACTCGTTAATTGTTAAAGTTAAAGGCAAATACTGTACGCTTATTCGCTTTTTTGCAGAGTTAGTCACTCTCATATCTGTCCATTAAACATGCAACTTCTGCCAGCAGCCAGTTAGCTTAGCGTAGCACAAAGACTGGAAAAAGGGGGAAATAACTACCGTGGCTCTCTCCTTAAGGTAACAAAATCCGCCTACCAGCACCCCTGAGCACTGTTTTACCATTACAATTGCTATTTATTCAGAGGTCGCACGCCTCTGAAGCAACTAGGGGTTAAGTGTCTTGCTCAGGGACACATTGGTGGATGTGTCGCAGTGGGGATTTGAACCCGGGTCCCTCACACAAAAGGTATGTGTCTTATCCACTGCCCTATCACCACCGCTATAACCACTGCTATCACCACCCCTACCTCTAACTCTCAGCAAGAAAGTATTAACTATTCCTTTAAAGCTTCCTTGACTGTGACAATACACCAAAGTGAGAATATGGAGAGTAACTGCCACTTGAATAGACTCAAATATTAGTCTCTGTACGTGCACAGTCCTGTCATCACTGTGTGTGCAACGCTCTATGCATCACCTCATGTCTACGTTAAGAGAAATTATACGAACCAGGGTATACACTGGCTGAAAAGGTACCTTTTAGTGCTGATACAGTCAAACTATTTGAGCATCTAAATGAGCAGACTGGTTTACTCTACACCCTGACCCTTCTCTATCCTCTCCTTTGAGAAAATAAGATTTCATCCAGCTCTGAAATTGCCCACATTTTCAAATTTAAAGCAATTTCAGAAAAAAGGTAAATAAAATGGATTCAGGAGGAGTAACAAACCGTGATTAAACACTGGCTGTGTTCGGTGCTTTACCATGTTGGTGGTGCGTCCACGGGCCCGGCGAGGGGGTTTCCAGGACCTCTCCTTGGTGATGCTGTTGATGTAGTAGCTTCTTCCTGTGGACGGGTCCAAGTACTGCTCCCACAGGTCTTTGATCCGAAGAGGCTGCTGACCTGGGTCAGGGCTAGGTGGCTCCGGCTGCAACAGCCGTTTGTCTGGCTGCATTTTATTGTAAAGAGGGGAGTCTTGCCAGGACAGCTGGGATAAATAGGACTCTGTTGGGACCTTGTAGGCAGACAGAGTAAAGGGTGAAATGAGAAGGAAAGAGAGGGAGAGGTGAGAAGAAGTAGAGAGGTAGAGGCAGAGGTGGACATGAGGAGAGAGACAAGAAGAAATTACTTCAATACAAATATAAAATGCACAGCAAAAATACAAAGGTCACCAGTTTAAAATCAAAACCAAGATGATAATAACTGGACATAAGTTAAACGATTCTAATTATGAGTTAAAGAATAAGGCTGGCGATATTCTATACTTTTACTTCTATACTTTGTTGTATTGTTAAAACTAATACGTTTTGTCTGTGCGACCAAAGCTCTCTAAAAAAAAAATCTGGACACAAATATAAAATTTCAAATACTTAAACTTTTTTTTTTTTTTTTAAGTTTAGAAATGCTTAAATAAATATTCTACTTCAATATGAGTAAATAGTGCTTATGTTAAGGGCTACTTTGAAGATTAACACACTTGGTGAGCTAATGAGTATTTAAAGCAGCAGGATGGTGTGTGTTACTGACTCAAAATAAACGTCAGTGCTGCATGTCCAACATACAGTAATTAAGGTGCATATCACCAATTACGATCTGAGTTTTATGGCACAGAAGAACTTGCTATATCTGGCAACGCTGACAATACTTGTTTGTTGAAACAAGCATTATCTATCTATTTATCAAAAGTGTGCATGTCTGAACTAAAACTCATGCCAATAAAGCCAACTGAATTAAGTTAAATTGGATATGTGTGTGTGTTTGTGCAACTTTACAGCTTTCTTTATCCACATCAAGTTTTAACAGATAGTAAAGTAGGTGTTATATGCTGTAGATATTGTACAGTTTGCAGTCCAAATACAACATTATCTGAACAAGTATATGTGTGTGTTCAAGAGAGGGGCACATAACAAGAACCACAAAAACAGTCTCAGTGTGCAAAGAAGAGACTGAAACTCCACAGAAACCACAAAGAGAAACACTCTAGAGAGAGAATCAGCTCTAACTATAGAATAACCCATCAGACTTTGGATTAAGACAGAGCTTAGAGGAATGCATGTGCGCACCCAGACAGAGAGGACTAAAGCAACAGCTGGCCACATCCGCCCAAGCAACCTCCATGTGGCCCAGCACATAATCTAATAAATATAACAACAAAAGTAAACTACATGTGTAGTGAATGGAAGTCCCTAAAGAGTGAGCTATATAATTTCCTTATCATCATCGTTGAGTTTCACGTGCGCTGTACTGATCACCGCCAATCAATCAATAACCAACTACGCTGGTTAGTGTATGTATGTGGTGCAATAAAGACTTAGCCAATTCTTTACCAACACACCTGTAATAAGCATAAACATGCAAAACACCATGTTTTAATCTGCTCAGTCTCTCATCCACTGTAGCTGTGTTTTGGTTTTACACAAGCACAGCGCTAGTTCAGATAATAGCTTATTGTTACAAACAAGCTAAAGTGAAAGCTCTCTGTCTTTAGTAACTGTTCAACTTAGTTTGCCACTTACATTAAAATATGACACATTATAAACTCAGTTGGTGGAAACAGACCAGCCCTCCTCTCTACCAGCAGCAGCAGAGGGAGGAGGACGACAGGAGGGACCGAGCAGTTCATTCTTTCTAAACTTCACTCAGTATGTTAATGATCCCAACTCGTGAGAAAATGTCCCAGCCATCTCTGTGTCCTGGTTTTAAAATCCAGCCCAATCAAAACTGTAATTGAATAGCCCTGGTCTGCAGTGATCATAGTAATATAATGAAATTAAACTGTATGCAGCATTGTAGACAATATTTTGCCCTTGTAATCCATGTTTCCATTGCATGGATAGCCTTTGGAGATTGCTGGAAATTGAAAATTAAGGAGTCCACCTCCTTAAAGGGTAAATTATTATCATAACAATTTAATAATGCATTGCATTTAAGCAGAACTTTTCATACACAAAAAGCGATAACAGTAGCCTATCCTACCAGGCTGGACACGCAGTCTGCCTAAATATGTATCCCCTTTATAAAGCACAGATGATGGCCTACTATCAAGTATTTAATTTTGTGTATACTTCACATCAGGACTAATAACAGGGGTGAATATGGAGAAGTTTGTTGTTTCCTAACAAAATTTATAGTGGGAAAACAAAATACAAACTGGGATCCAGAGAATGTCTAGTACACTAGAGCTTCTACTGTTCATTAAGCCTTACAAAGACGTGTTGTATCAAAGAATGTACTGTAAGTTGAACTGAAGTTAACAGGAATGTTTTATTTGTGTACTGTAATTTATAAAAACTATAATTAAATTACTGAGAAGATCCTGTTACTGAAACAAATAACTAAGTTACTAAAACATTACATTATATACTAAACAAGACATTTTGAAAGCTTGAACATTGCCTTTGTCTCTTTTGTCCCAGATTGAATGGGCCCCTCTGACAAAACAACTGGCCCCAGCCTGGCCCCCTTAATAAAATTGGTCTAGAACCGCCACTGTGTGTGAGGCAAATGCAAGGACTGTATAGAAGAGGTGCACACATGTAAAAAGGGGATGTAAATGTAGTTTACTCCAGGGGGCAGCACTGAGTCTTCAGCTCACCTGAAGCTTCCTGTCTTCCCTAACTGTTTCCTACTGTTTATGTCACTGGTTAAATCAAAACCAAGTGTGTTTCAACAGTGTCAGATGGTGTGATGGCTGAGAAAAGTATGCTATGCAAGGCACTTTTAATCATTTAAAAGCCACATAATTACTGATTTTTGGGGGCATACATATTTTTGACGGTGCATTGATTCTCATGCGGTCTCTTGCCAACTTGTTAAATAAAATATATTTTTATGAACATTTTCCACAGGAAAAGCTGATGAATTTTGAATCTGGAAGAAGAAGATATCTTTATTGTCACATTCACATTGTGAAATTCATTCTCTGCATTTAACCCATCCCTCAAGGGGACCAACTCCAGATGTATATATCAGTGACTAGTCAATGGCACTGACTGGAGTACCTAACATGTTTTTTGATGGTGGGGGAAACCGGAGCATCCGGAGGAAACCCACGCAGACACGGGGAGAACATGCAAACTATCCACTGGACCACCGTGCTGCCCTATATGATACTGGCCATGATTTACTACCATAACAACACCATTCTGTGAATTGTACATAATTTTACTACTTTTCCTTTCACTGTACAAACTGAATAGATTATGGCCATTCTAAAGTTATTTAACTACAAACATATTTTACAATATGAATTTAAATACAAATCAACTTGTCATGTCTTGCAACACTTGTCTTGCAACATTTTGGACATACTGACTCATCAAAAACAGTAACATTAACCATGGCTGCTGCACTCCATTTATGTATACCACTGTCAGGGCTCTGTTATTTTGCATACAGTACTGGCTCACTGGAATGGCTTACTTGCTCACTTAATTGGAAAGGATCCATCATTAATGTTATTAGTTACATCTGCTGTGAGAAAGGTGTATTAACAAACTTTGTTAAAAAGCTACATTATAGCTATAAAGTATAAAATAACTCTAGTCTGAATCACCACTCACCTCCCTTTTTTCTCGTAAACAATTTACTATACAATAAAATAAATAGCAAGTAAAAATAATACAATAATTACTCCCTGAAATACATGATTCTTGCCATTATAAAATATAGAACATATTTCACTAAGTAGCTTGTTTTTAAACATTTAAAAAAGATTAACAAACACAGTAATGAAAAGGTTATCCCTGTCATCATCACCTCTATGTTGTATCCAGAACAATGAACATATTTTGTCCTTTGTGAATGTGTCAGCAGCCATTTTATCCTTTTAAATGGGAAAAGTTGATCCTTGAGCTTAGTTGGTACTGACCTCTATTTTCTGACACTTCCTCTTCCAGCTTGTGCTGTGATCAAGAGCTTATTCAGAGGTGGTTGCATGCTCATAGTGATTCTACCAGAAAATGACATGAGCAAGACAGAGAAGCTTTATTTATAGACCCCAGATGTGACAATTGGTCAGTGTTGGAGGAGGAGATCTTGTAGGTGTGATGCGCGCCATTTTTGACTGGGAACACAAGAGATGTACACCAGAGTAAATTACAAGTTTTTTTTATCTAGTGTGAGGCATGTCATGAAACCTTACATAATTCAGACAGTAAAGAGTAAAGTTAAAAATCAGGGGTGTCCATATGGTTCAGTGGTCTTACATACATACCAGCAATGTGCAGTTTGAGTCTATCTAATTATATCTATCTGTCACTCTACACTATATGGTCAAATTTGTGGCAACAGTTGGGTGAAGACCCTTTCCTGTTTCAACAAGACAGTGTCCTTGTGCACAAAGTGAAGTCCACAAAGAAGTCTGGTGTGGAAGAACTCGACTAACTTGCACCAAGCCCCTTGAATTTGACAGTGTTTTCTGGATGAAAAATTTAGTTATATGTTGAATGTGGCTGGAAAAAAAAATCTGCTCACTAATGTTTAAGGCTCGAAAGTAGAAGGCCCTCAGAGAAGGAGAGGGATACATACAGACAGGGAGGAAGACAGAATGAGAGACATAGAAATAGCATTGTCATGTCGACTGAGATCATAGTAAAGTCGAAAGTAACGGGTGCATGCATGATTCAGTGGAAGCAAAAGTCCTTTCGGGGAGCTAAAGGAGCTTCCCACTGCAGCTGAAAAAACAGATAAGATTCAGTATTTCGCTCATCAACAACGCCTGATGTAATACAGCGAGGCTCTGACGTCACAACAATGCTAACTTGATTGCTGCTCTAGGAGGATTATTAAGGTCAAGTACAGACGTAGATCAAACGCAATTCTCTGCCGCCAACGCTGCACTCAGTGGTCTGGTGGGATTGCATGAGGTCTTCTTTTTTATTTTAATCAGTTTTGTACAAAATTCCTGTGAGTAGAATTATTAGTTACCACCTGAAAAAGCTTCTCTGATTGAATGAAGTTAAAAAGATTGCCATGTTTTTTACTTCTTTGTTAAGGTTTACTCTGCACAGTCACAAGGCTAAAGACTACCAGATGGTTTATTTACAGTTTTTCTGTAAATCCATTCCTACACTTCCTTCAGCACCAGCTACATGTGATGCATTTGTTTGACCCGTTTTCGTTCACTATTCTTCATACTAATTAGGATGGATCTGATGTGTGACTGCTGGCAAGACACATGCCTTTGGTATGAGAGACCCGGGTTCAATCCCCTACTGTAACCCATCCACCATTGTGTCCCTAAGCAAGACACTTAACCTGTAGTTGCTCCAGAGGTGTGCGACCTCTGACATATATATAGCAGTTGTAAGAAGCTTTGGATAAAAGCGTCAGCTAAATATGTAAATGTTCTACTACTACTAGACATGGATCTTTGTATGGATGAGTATCAAATGTCACTGGAGATTTTTGCACACCCTGTTAGATTAAACATTGTTCTATTAAATTACATTTATTTCGGGGCTATCAGTACAATGAGCAGATATTTGGTCTGACTTCTGTTGTCAATTATTTTGTGCCACTCAGTTGTGAAAAGCATCAACCTCACTGGGCCAAAGCTTTAATCAAACACAACTGATGTGAACATACCCTACTTTGGATTCATTAAAGGTGATTATTATTATGCTTGTCCATTATTACCATTGGTAAATGACATCGATTGAGGGATGAAATGCAAGCCTCCTACAGCTTCCCTTTAAACATTAATTCAACACAAATCATCTCAAACACCAGCTAACGTTAACACAGAAATTAGCTCCCATGAAATCAAAATGGACACTTGTGAGAATAAAACCCCATGTTTCCAAATGCAGTACCGGAATTCCCCTTGCCTCGTTTGTAGGCCTTGCCCCTTCCTACCTGCAAATGGTTGGTGCTGGAAGCTCCCACCATATCCCACTGGCTACAAGACTTCTTGGGAATTCTGTGGTTGACACGACTGCTGAAGCCGCCACCCACCTCATCATACGGGTTCTCCATCAGGTTTTCAGGCAGGTTGCTGGAGCTCTGGCTCCGAGTGATCATGGGGACCGCCCTGGGGTTTTGTGGTGCAGTTTGCGTCGTGGAAGTCACGGGTGACCCGGGGACCATGAGGTGGCCTGACGGGGAGGTGGGAGAGTTGCGGGTAAAGGTGAATCCAGAGAGGGGCAGGGTGGTGAAGCGGCTTCCACCTGAGCTTGTGCTGTTGTCCTGCCCCTTTAAGGCACTGTTGGAACTGAGGTTTTCCATGGAGTGGTAGATGAATTTGTTCACTGGGGGAGGAAGATACATTCTCATTTATTCACACAGATCAGTTAAGACTTATTTGCTTATATACCCAAGGGAAACATCAACACACGCATTTTTTCTGCTCTACAATAACAAAGCATCATTGCAACTGAAAAACACACACCAAATTTTTTCCCCCAGACTTTCTCTCACACTTTACCTTGATGCTGTTCATTATAGGAAGTCCCTATTGGGCTGGGACTGAGTGACAGCCTTGGCAGTATCCTGAGGTTGGAGTTCAGTGAGGCAGACATGACCAGGCGCTGTGGCGAGGGCATCGGTGCAATGGGCACCTCTGTCACATACGTGGCGGGGACATACAACGGCTTTGTTTTACTGGCTGCTCCAATCCTCCGCACCTGTCAAAGAACAAACAGATTTCCAAATGGTTCTGCTATTTTCTCCCACATGAATCCACTGATCCATCGTCTTAGCCGTTGTCACTTTTCTAATGTAATGTTTCTTAGTGGTGTTTTGATGATAAATATCATGGTGGATACTTTTCAACTGTCAGAGAGTAATTATAATTGTAATACTTATGTGCTTACTTGTTTGTGGTACATATTTGAATTTTCTGACTCCGGTAAGTAGTAAGATTGCCGTTAGTAGTTAAGTAGTTAAAGGATAAGTCTGTTGATATTTCTTATTGCCAACAAATCCCATAATAAGGGCCAAAACCAACAATGACTTCATCGTACCAAGTATTTCCTGTGTGTGTGAAGCCCGATTTGGCTTAGCCGTCTCTTTCCAAAAACATAGACACTTCAGTTTATTTTAAAGGGTAACAATGGGTTATTTCAACCTGCCATTAATACTCTGTCCCCAGAAAATGCACTATTGAGTAACAATTGATAAAAACTAAAGTGCGTAGATGTTTTAGCAATTTACTTCGCTTTTTGTAAAAATAAAAGTATATATTTGTGACTAGTTTTTAATTATTTACATCTTCAGTAAGAACAAATGGGCTTGTAGCTGAGAGCCACAAACAGCGTAGGGAAGTCAAAAAGCATTGAGAGATGAACTATCTCATTGTTGGTTTTGGTCTTTTCATGGGATTTGCTGACAATAACAAAAATATAAAAGCGTTATTCTTTATTCGAAATTGAAACCTCCCTTCAGAAACTGCTACGTTCATGTTTTTCTAAAATCTCTGGTTCCACCAACACAAGACAAACAAAAAACTGTTTTCTCACCTGCCACCAGTCAGTGTTGGTCTTTTTCAGGAGAATAAACCGTTCACCCTCCCTAATGCAGACCTGACGTCCATCAGCACCGCGGTAGTTGTAGTCATACTGGGCCTCAAGGACCACCGTGCCACTGGGAACCCCACACACTGTCAAACCCCTGGAGGCCACCACGGGCGCTGCAGCAGGCTGCTGGTGCCCCACAGAACGCCGCCAAGTCCCGGACAGCATGTCTCTCCACACAGTCCTGTTCAGCAACCTTTGCTGGAAGCGTGCTGATGCTTTATAGTGGTGATATTGGTTGGGTTAGCATAGGGCAGGTGAGACTGGAGCCAGGCCAGTGCCATGCTCTGAGACAGAAGAAAAAGAGACAGACATACAAAGAGAGAGAGTGATTACTGAAGCAGTGAGAGAACAGTGAACAAAGTGAAAATGAACACCCAGCTGTGTGCAGGTTCAAAAGGAGACAAACATGAATCCTAAAAGTGCTGACATCTACAAACATTAGGAACTTACTCTCAAATTTTCTCTGCATCTTTTTCCTTCTGAAAAGTAAGTATTTTCTGTCTCTGTTTCATATCATTGTAAACTGAATATCTTTGGGTTTAGGACTGTTGGTTGGAGAAAACATATGAAGACATCACCTCGGGCTTTTGGAAAATTGTAATGGGTGTTTTTCACTATTTTCTGACATTAGAAACCAAGCATTTAAAAGCTTATTCACATTCAAATTAGATGGATACCACTCTTATACTTGTCCGGTAGCAGTTAGTTACCTTAGCTCAGCACAAAGACTGGAAACAGATGGAAACAGCTTGCTTGGGTCTGTCCAAAGGTAACCAAATCCACCTACAAGTACCTATAATGCTCAGTGATCAACATTTTATGTCTCGTTTGTTTAATCTGTACGTAGTTGGGGGTCTCCACAGGTTGCCTGGCAACGAGTCTTTGTGTTAAGCTAAGCTAAGCTAAGATAATCAGCGGCAGGCTATAGCCTCATATTTAGGACAGATATGAAAGTGGTATCAATTCTCTCCTCTAACCCTAACTCTCTGCCAGAAAGAGAATAAGCATATTTCTAAAATGTCCTTATTAATATCAATTAATTGAGAAAATTATTTTCTCATATTTAATAATGAAAATCTTTAGTTGCAGTCCTATTTGCAATATATCTTGTTTCCTTGCACAAGGTGTTAGCTTAATTTGCAGAGTCTAAGAGCAATAAGAGTCCTTTTAGAATTTATATGAGCATAACCCTAAACCCTATGAAACCAAAAGACACTGGAGAGAATGAATTATTTTTGCTTAATATATAAGTTAATCAATGATTTATTACCAAAATAATTGCTTAATAATTTTCTACAGATCGCCTAATTGATTAAGATTACTGTTTCAGCACAAAAGTAATTGACTGCCAAGATGCCAAGATTTCTAAATTTTAATATACTTTTACTTGTCCATTCATCCTGGTAGAACTAAGAGACACGTGTCAGTGAATAACATGCGTTTGGAGGATGTAAGGAGCGCAGTAAACCCACCTGAGCCAGCATCCCCAAGCTAAACCCCCTGCTCTACGCAGCCAAGACCCGCTTACATAAGAGAACATATAACTTTCTGCCAGACACATAGCAATACAGCCTCACACAGTACATGCATCCACCCACACATGCACACATACACACAAGCATAGACAGAAAAGGGAACATCCCTGGGCACCTAGCAACAGTGCTTCAGTCAGGCCCAACCCATTTCAGTCTGGGTGAGATGAGGAGAGACAGCAAACACAACACATCACAGAAAAATTATAGACAAGCATGTTTTTAGTGTGTATGTAGAGGGACTGGGATACGGGGGGTGGGCAGAGAGGAATTAGAAACGGGACAAGACAAATTAAAGAAGAAAAAAATCAGGGCTACATGTCAAAATAAGAAAACAGATAACATGGAGGAATAGATAAAGCTTTATGGAACTGTGAGCCATGTGAAGGCGATGGAAGAGAGGGCAGGGTTAGATGGCTGAACCTTGATAATCCTACTGTTATTAAAGCACAGGAATGAATCTGTGACCCCCACCGCTACAGAGAATTACAGTAAAACCCCTCTGTACCAGCATATGGGCAGAAGGACTGCCTGCCTGCCTGGCTAGCTAGCTAACACTGGCAGGAAGCTCAGTGGAAGGCACAAGAGGAGCATTTCCAAGGCATTTCATCAAAATGTAATGAATCAGAATAAATACCATTCCACATTAGAAAAACATAAATACGGGACACTAAACTGACATCTGCTGAGGTCTCTTCACTAATATTGCACAAGTGGATACAACGGGCTTAGGTTGTGAGGTAACTGCAATTGCTGACCCCCCTCTTTAGAGTATATGGGTTACAATATAGTGTAGAATTAAAGCTAGGGTAAAGGCACAGTTGGAGAACTAGCAACAGACCGCTAGATTTTGATAGTATCCACCCGAAGAAATCCCACCCACTCCCTTCCACCTTCCAGGCCTTCTACCAAAGCCATTCCCCTAAAATATATTTTCATGTGCAGTGAGTGCATGGGCAGAATGCGTGCAGGTAGCTAACTCATTTCTCACACTATCCAACTATAAATGCAGGTAGGCCAGTCTACTGTAGGGATCCACAGAAAATTTGACTAAATATAACAAAAATATCCTAAATAAATTGACTACCTAAGCTTTAAGCATAGTAGTTTAGAAAATATTATAGGTCTCAGACCAAACTGACAGAAGGGCGGGATAAATGGGTCTGCTACTGCACAGTGCCATGGATTTATCAATACACAGCACAGTTAGGCTACTGTTACTCCAGAGCCATGGTCGAGGGCCTAGATTCTAACTTGCATAAGCATCAGTGAGATAAAGGATCAATGAGTCAAGCAGACTAGACTAACATATTCAACTAAACAGTCCCTCTGCCATAGCCCTCTGCTCTTGCACTCTCTCTGCTTCTAGGGGATTATGGGATGGGGGGGGGGTCATTTTGGTAATTTCACTAACAAGGGAATGGCGTCCCTCCTCATATCACCTACAGACAATAACGCATCTAAAATGTAGTGTAACACTCAAGTGAAAAAGATTCAGTAAAGTCAATTATGCAGCAATAAATAGGCCTATCTAATGTTTGCTAACATTAGCTAATATTTGCCACCATAATCATCATACCAGACCAGCAAAGTGTTTCAATGTTATAACTTGAGCAAGAGTGTATTGTATTGCTTATGAATTCAGTTGTTTATTGATTTGATGCAGCATATTCAAAATGCTTTGCTGGCTCAAACACTTGCAAAAAATATTTAATAAATGTCAAGATATTTTAAGTTGGTCTACTGCTTAGTCTTTTGGTGTGCAGCTAGCCTTCTCTTCAAATGCCCCTACTCAATGTCTTCACTTTCAGACAGAGGCAAAAGTAAGAGGTAGGCTACAAGGCGAGCAAGCAAACAGGAAACTGCATAGACACGTCAAGGTTCAACCACAGTTTGGGTCATATCCTCTCTATCTTGCCATTTGCTTTTCTGACATGAAACATCTCAGGCAGTTTAAAGCCTGTGAGTGCTGAAAGTCAAGAGAGTAAGTTATGCTGCATTCACCAGCACTAAAATACAGTAAGCAATGCTGAGTTGCCCTTTTGCCCCATGTGACTACTGAGCAGCTCTGTGAGTAGCATTAGCTGAGCCAAGTTGAGCCTTGAAGGACAGAGTTGTAGTTGTTTTTTGGCTTAAGAATCCTGCTGCATGGCTTCAGTAATGTATAATTAAGTATTTACATGGGCAGGGAAGGATAACAGACATACTCTGGCTTTAAAGAAAGACCAAAACATACAGCAGTGCCTACTCAGACAACATGTCTGTGATGTTTATCATGAGAATGTCTCCCTGCACAAACAGGAAGAGCTAGTCAGATACTGCTGCACACCTGTTTGTCTTTTCCTGTCTCTCGTCGCAGATCAAAACAACAGGCTATTACAAAGAAAAAGAGGAAAAAAAGAGAAAAAAAGAAGAAACGCATGGTGAATGAATGATAGCCAGTTACTGTGGGGCTTTATCTAATCTAACATTTGATGAGTTAGCGATGAAGTTAGACACAGTTACTGAGTATCATCAGTTTACTCATCAGTAGTTAGGTACAAATGCCTTACTCAGACACAGGATGCTTTGTGGTCTCATGTGTAAATTCCCTGGTTGTGTTATTCAGAGTTCAGGCATTTTTTAGCAATGCTCCCAAAAGGCAACAGCTCAGACTGCTTGCTAAGGGGAGAGAGGATAAGTCAGGAGTAGGGTTGGCTTTTCTCACCACATTACTCAAGATTGTAATGACAGTGCTTGTGGGCTTGTGTTGATTCACACCAGAAATCTAAAAGACTATTTTAAGTATATACAAAACAAAATGCTAATTAGCAGGAACTAATGATAATATTTAAACAGAGACTGAAATTTTAAAAGAAGCAATTGCGATCATAACACATTAGGATCTACCAAGGGAAAATTAGGCCAGTGTTTCTATTTGCAGGTCAGATGGCAGAGGAGAGGGCACTGGCGTCATATAGCTAAACATACAGAGAGGCCCATATGGTGTCAGAGACAGACACAGGCACCCTGTCAGGGCTGTAGAGAGGCGATGATAGTTTGTGCCAGCGGCTGATGGCACAGGGATTGTTGTGGTATCAACAACACAAATTGAGAGGTGAAGGAGAAAACATAGAGGCAAGGAATAATGGAAAATAGGAAGCGGGAAAAAATGGAGAGCAACCTTTCAAAAAGACAGAGAAGTGTTATTCGTCTGTCTGCCTTTGCTTGAGTGATTTCGCTACAGCTCAGACTGTGTGCATGCAAGTCATACTGAGCCGAAGAAATGGAGAGTACACAATTTGTGCATGCATGCGTGAGAGACAGAGAGAGAGAGTGAGAGAGAGAGGGAGCAACTAACCATGGTCCTGAAGTGAGCGCGTGTCTATGTCAGCGAGGTCACCAGCTCACTCTGTGTGCAACCCCACCGATAAACCTTAAAAACCAAAACATCACCAGTAGAAGATTATTAAAATGTATTTGAACAACTTCCTTCCAGCCCAAACGGAAGAGTCATTGCTTTCCCGCCTGACAAAGGTTAAAGAGCTAACACTGAGGGGCTATGAAAAAGGATGTTGTGGAAAACCACTACAATTGACACAAACCAGCAGCTCCCTCCTGCAGAAAATCACACACAACCTCTCTCTCTCTCTCTCAGTTAAGTTAATCCTATGCAGCGAAATGATCCTGCCTCCACTCATTCAACGCCTGCTGACCTTCCCCCATTTTGCCTGAGAGATAAAAGCAGAGCAAGAGACAGAGAGAGCATCAGCTGGCTATTACCCATTCATGCAAACCACAAACCATATTTGAACTTGAGAAAAGGAGCATGGCGAGAGGGAGAGAGGACCTGTGTTGACCAAACAAATGCAATCAGCTGCCTAGTAAATTGATTGAACTATTGATCAATACACAGAGCAGACTGGTCAACAGTGCCACTGGTCATCAGAGATCCACCACAAAGTTAAGCACATGCATGAGGACATTATGTTCCTCCAAATCATCTCAGAAGTGTTTAGCTACTTTCAAAGGGGGTTACCTGGCTATGTTTTAATGTGAAATGTTTCACATACCAGACAGAATCATCAGTGCGGAGGATGTGATGCTACACCACCAGCATTTCAAAGTCAGTCATATCAACAATCCTGAAAGGCCATTAGAATAAATTTTTTACCTCTGGTTTTGCATATTTTAGTCAGCCATTTTCCTAAGCATACATCAATTTTTAGATTTACTTCCCAACTTCCAGGCAGACTTGAATTTCAGCTCTTGCCACAATGGTACATAAATCCAGTTAACATAATCCATGAAAGTGAACATTTAGTTGCTTAACATTTTACAGATCTCCTCCAGACATGCTTTATATATGCATGAATACTCTGCTTTTGAATAACAATTTGTCTTTTCTGATGTGGATTTTACACAAAAGCAGCTTGATTCTCTAGTTATAAATTCTTAAATTTACCTGCTCTCACTCAATACTACAAAATCGACGAATAGGGAAATATTGGTAATTTCAAAACTTTAGCCACTGGACACAAGCTGTCTCCTACTTTACTGAAAAGTAATTTTTCAGCGTCTGTGCCAGAGGTTTAAAGTTTCCACATCATGGAAAATCACACTCATCTATGTAAACTGAATGACAAGTTCAGCTCCCACAGAGATTGTTTAAGATCATAGCGACTATCAATCACCACACGGCAGGACAGGAGCGGAGTGAAGGGTGTTGGTGGAAAGTATGGTGTCACATCATGACCATATTAATTCTATATGTTTGAAGTCGAAAGAGGGCGGCTTTAATAATCATGGCTACATGGTCTTCAAAGAGAGATGAGACATGTGGAAGAGGAGTATAGAGTGAATGAGGAACTTCAAAGGGTTTTTGCGTGGACTCCCATATCCGTATATGCATAACACGAACACACACACACATCCGTAAGTAGATTGTACTGTATTTACATATGAATGTCTATAACCAAAGGGTTCACAGGAAAATGAGAAAGAAGAACAAGTTACTCCACATGATACAATACTGTTCAGTAACTTTAATCACCACAGAAATAATTAGAAAGTGTGAGACTTAAAGTTAACAGGACTGCTGATTTAATATCTGTGTCAGCTGCTATTAGTTATTTACAGTGACATGAGACATGCCGACTGTGCCTGATCTCTATTGTTTTTCATGCAAACAAGCATCCAATGGTTTGTCTGCCCAACTGGCTGCCTGAGTCTTAACTTGAAGTGAGGTATGTGTGAGGTGAAGTATTGCATCATTTATCCACATCATACATTATGGGTAAAAGGCAGAGTATCTTGGATTAAGCACAGAAGTGCCTTGGAATTTTCCTAAAATCAATTCTAAAGCAAACTAAGTTTTATGTGACTAAATCTAAACTACACCTGAAACAGATTAAATAATTAAAAAAAAATTTAAAAAAGTGAAATATTAAACTTTGACAACTCAAAACCTTTTGTGTTTAATACTTACTTTTAGAAAACAGCAACCAATAACTTTGATGTGAATGCAGCTGCACTAATAGTCAAGTCAAGTAAACTTTTTCCATATACAGCAGCCCAAAATAACATGTTTGTCTCAGAAGGCTCTACAATATGTACAACATACAACACACTCAATCCTCAGATCTTCAATTCAGACAACAACATATAAAATTCGTCCATTCTCAGCTTGATGAGCAGTTCTACTGAGGACAGCCATGTGGGAGAGCATTCACTTTGTCTATGAATGTACAGTTAAAACTAGTAGTGCTGATGTCTCTCTCTCCATATGAGACACATGCCTCAAGCCAAAACAGCCTTTCATCCTCCCAGAGCCATGCATTATTGATGATTAGACCAGAGAGAGACACTGAAACACACACTACGTTTCCCAGTGTGACGACTGGCTGCCTGTGTGTATGAATGTATGTCTGAGTGTCCGTGTGTGTGTGTGTGTGTGTGTATGTGACTGAACAGGTGGGCTGGATTCTTTCAGCGATTAGTTGTGTAAATTGTCAGACAGCCAATCAAAAAGCAGATGATGACAGTAAAGCAGCCATTGGCTCATGCTCTCTACTATCATCATGACAACAACCACTGTGAACAACTACCATCTCCAGTGTCTCTGTATGTGTGTTAGGTGTTTCTTGTTTCACATAACAACATTTCACATGTGTGATGCCATCATTTCACGCGTTTGCTGACGCAATACTTTACAATGAACCCTGGAGCCTGCATCGACACATAGCAAACTTCTTCAGAAAGTTTTCAATTTCTCATTTCCTTCATTTGAATATAAACAACAACCAGACAGACCAGTGTTTGCCAGTTAGGCAAAGGAGTGCAGGATTGCTCAGGGGGCATGTTAAACTCTTGAAAGAATTAATTCAAGCATCACATTTTTAATTAGGGAAAAATTATGTGGGGGAAAGGAAGGCAAAAAATACACCGCTAGGCCTAGTATACTTCTATATTTAAATCATAATAAGTGTATGTTATTATCGCTTATATGCCAACAACTCTTGTTTTTGTTATTAAGTGATCTGTCATCATTTGACTGAAAAAATGTCAGAAAATTGTGAAACAATATCATAATGATTTCCATGCTGAGTCAAAATAGCTTGTTTTGTCCAATAACAATCCAATCAAATTGACAAAGATATAAAAACAAAGAAAAGCTGTATGTCTGTTAATTTGAGAAGTTGGAATAGGTAAATGTATATATTTTCCTTGAATTACTTAAAAGATTACAGAAATTATTATTTTTCTGCCAATTGACCTAAATTGTCCTTGGCTTACTCAAGTAAAACTGCACCAGCACTGTAGCGTTGTCCAACCATATTGATTTATTTCCTTGTTAAATACTACTTCATGAATATAAGACTAAAGTTGCCAGGGTATGGATTTTGCAGTGCATTGATTTTTGTCTGCAGCGATCAAACAGAATAAGAAGTGCTTAAATTATTTGTTATTCTATGTGATATAAACCCAAATAAACAATAATGTTTTATTCACATGTAAGGTGACCAACAGTGATAAGTATCAAACAAACAAGGTATTCATCTTTCACCATATTCCCACAATATTCCTCAATTGAAAAAAATACAATGTCACCCAGAAGTCAAGACTGATCTTTAGAGAATAACAAAATAAACCTCTACTTTGACCGGGCTCATGGGTTGTTGCTGAGCCTGTGGGAATGTGTGGTACATTGATGTTTCTAATGAAGAGCAGTGAGCTCCATTGATCCACCAGGGATGAGAGAGAGCTGTCAAAAGCTATCAGGCAAGTCAAAGACCCACTTTCAGCACTGTGCAGTTGAAGTGAGCACGATACTGTTGGGGCACAAGGAAGAGCAACTAAACCTCCCAAGGCAAATGGTATAGAGGAGAGGCACACGCAGACACAGCTTTGATGCCTTCATGGGTTTAAAGTGGTTATTCTTTCAATAAAGAAACATTTCACCAGTAACAATAAAGGTTTAGGATGTGCCAGACATTAGAAGACTGCTTACCCATGGTGCCTTCAGGTCTATTAATTTAAGTGTTCGGTGTAGTTGTTTTTCTAAGAACATCATTCCTTCCATTTCTTCCTTCTATACACTGGATATGCAGACAAGGGCTGCAACTAACAATGATTTTCTTAATTATTGGATTCATTGTTTAGTCTACAAAATGTTAGAAAACTGTACAAAAAACATGTCAATCACAATTTAAGAAAGCCAAAAGTGGCGTAATCAAATGTCTTGTTTTGTTTGACCAACAGACCAAAATATCCAGCTTACAATGACGTGTGATAAAGAAGAGAAGCAAACCCTCTCATTTGCCCTAATACAAACTTTGTTTCATTTTCAAACTATGTGAAAGTGTATGAAACGGCGTGGCGAGTGGTGAGTTGTTTATAGTGCAGTACCTGTGCAAAATAAAGGCTAGTAAAACCACAAATCATTACACAGATACTATTAGTAAATGTAGAATTAAACGGGATTAAAACAGAGCCCAGTGAGAACAGGTGGAGCTACTACACATGGGAAGCTGCTTTTCATTTACAGTAGACAATACAGTATGTTGGCTAAATATGAGGCTCGCTTTTTTTGCTGAGTTCTGATATAGTGTCAGAATCCAGCCACACTGTCATTTAACTATGTACCATATGTATACTGGACACCAACTGCATCTGGTTGCATTAATATTGCTTACCTACCAATTAGTAATAAAGTAATGAGCCAAACACCTTGCTGAAGAAACCCAAAAACCCCAAAAATGTCACTTGCAAAATATTATCGTACAAGATTCGTTGCACTAGTTGTGATGTACATTCAGTTCAGTTTACCGTCAGTGATATAAATAGAGTGAATTAGACAAATCTTTCATTCTGACCCAGTACAATTCAACAGCGCTAAAAACGGCAGCCTCCAAAATGACCACAAAATTAAATCAACACCTCTCTAAACTATTTCAACAAAAACTGAACAATACAAACTATATAAAGACAGGATTTATTGCCGAGCTGATGCATCACACAACATTAGTTTTAGCTTAGGTGTACCGCATAAACTGGCAACTGAGTTCAGGAAATTATATTTTTGATATAAATAAATAAAAAATTGAATATACCATAATTCTTAACCAGTTAGAGGCTCTCTCTTCTGATGAAACTATGTCACATGACGGCATTGGGTAATGGAAATGTGTTTGTGACTTAGAAATGGGGTAGAAAAGGTTTGTAGGCAAGGTAATCACAAAACAGCACATGAATACCAAAAAAAAAACATCCATCTGTAATATGTGCAAGTTTAGGACTACTTAGGACTCCAAATTATGCAGAGACACAGTTGTGTTGTGCCATTCACCTGGTCTGTATAGTACAAGGCAGATAAGTCAAATTAGTTTTTTGCTGCACTTTGTGATCTGCTACTGTATCATTTTGCTTTAGATACAGACAGCAGAATAATCTGACCAGTACCATACCATGATGTTAAAAGCTTCAGTCTCTGAATCTGTCTTTCACACTGCACCGCCCACAGTCTGCGAAGCACAGTAGCAATCACAGCGAACTTGTAACCCTCCTGCTAATACTGCCCATGGTACAGGGCACTTTTAATCAGCAAGGTTGCAACTGGAGAATTATCTTTCAAGCCTGTGTCGTCACAGTCTGGCGAAAAGGGGAGCAAATCTCCTGCTTTGCATGGATTTAAGAAAGATTATTAAACAGCAAAAATGCAATGCGTCAGTCAAACTGTTTCCATCACACCCTGTGGTTAACCCCTCCATGCACTTCTCTGTAGCACGTAAGGACTTAAGCTTGGTCGCAGTAGCATGCAAATATTTCCGTCTGGTCTGTCATATGTAAAACGTTGAGATTCGCAATTCTTATCAGTGTGACATTTAATGACTGGGAAACTGAGATGACCAAAAATTGGGTCACAGAGTCAGCACCACTGTAGTGATTAAATATTTGAGAATACATCATCCTCTGAAGGACTAGGTATACATAAATTAAAAGAAAGCGCAATTGATGTGAAAAATAAAATAAAAAAATAAGTGTGTGTATATGGGGAGGGGCTGGACAAGAAACTTTGAAAAATGGAAAAGACATCGTTGGAAGTTAACATGTGTTAAGTGCATGTTGGATCTATGTTAATTCAAAATATGTTGGGTCAATATAAGTTGGTCTTTTGTGATTCTCTTGCAGCGCCCCATCTTAGTAGGAGCAGTTGTGACAGTAGCTACATGTGGTTTGACACCATGATGTGGAAAAATAAGTTGTTTTTGAAAAAGTGGGCTTCTTATTTCTAAGTGCAAGATCTATTTGTGGAAACAATCGTTGTTTTTTTTTGTTGTTTTTTTTTTACAATTGTCTACACCTTTTTTATTTGCACAAACTTTACAGTAGATGGTAGCATTGTGATAAATGTATTATAATTTTATCCACGGAATCGAGGCTTAAATTAGCTTTAAAACGAATCATTCTGAAATATACTTTTTGAAATAAAGCATAATCTACAGTTTCCATAAACAAATACAATGGTGATTATTGGGTAAAAAGATCATTAAAACCATGAGATACTTATTCATACTGATGAGAGTTATTGTTTATATATAATTATAAGATCTAACAACTTGAAAAATGTTAATTAAAATCTACATTATATTTATGTGTATTTATCTAATTTATTTATCCCAATCCCAATCATAAGGTTTTATGATTCATAGTTTGTATAGTTGCACAAATATCACAGTCGATTAAAATAACAAGAGAAGCGCTTTATCTTGCAGAAAACATTTCCTGCAGTGAGCAGAAATTAAGCGGTCTGACTAGACAATTCAGCAGGAATCTCATCTTTGCATCGTGCAGGGACACAACATCACTCACCTCACAGCGACGTGATGACAGCTCAGTTGTGTTTTTTGGTGCAGGAGTTGCGTCTTTTCTCGTGGGAAGAATTGAAAAAATATATTGATAATTTCACCTAATTTATGGTAACGGAAGCAGAGAGAAGAACTCCGCCGTGCACTTTTACAAATTAACAGTGAGACATTAGCACTAAGTTACCCGGTGTAGCCCATGATATTACATCCGCCTGGCTCTTTAAGTGGATGAAAAATAGCATTCGCTGTGTGGGTTTGGTCGTTTAAGATTGGCTACAATCGCGCAATGTGATTTTACACGAAACCAATGAGATTACTAAGTGGGTGGGGCTGTGGTGCGCTCATTTGAGTGAATGGCGTCGCGGGGTATTTAGTGCATATGACAGTAGACGAATCCCGCCCGGCGGTGCTACGATAAAATAAAAAAAACCAAGCACAACTCCTGCATGTTGACGTTACGCTCTAAAGATTATTCGTGGGAAGTGTAGTCCAATTTGTCAGATCGCGACCCTTTCTGTGAACGACACAGACACGGCTCCAAAACTACATCTCCGCCATTTGTAACACAGCCGGCACTGCTTGCATCAGCGTGTGGACGGCACACACAGACAAAGTTTCTCCCGGCATCTACTTGATTTAAAGTGAAAATATTGCCACTATTAAAGCCAGTTATCGTTTCCAACGCAGCGAAGTAAGTTAGCTACCAACGGCAAGATGAAGCTCTTTGTAAGTGAAGGCAACCCGCACTGCCTGAAGGTGTTAGTTGCTTTAGAAGTGACCGGAGTTCAGTGCGACGTCCAGTATGTCAACCACGAAGGTGAGAGACAGCATGGTTTAGCTTAACATTTAGTGTGTGAGCAGTGCACACTCAGGTGTTCAGTATCAATCAGTATTTACCTTCATGCCTGGAAGAGTCTGGGTTTACTTGGATTGGGTTACTTGTGGTCGAGTTGTAGGGCTGTGTTATACAGACACAATCCAGTGTATTGTTATAGATATATAGATGCATGGATAAAAATATTCTTTAATCGGTCTGTCAGTGTTTGTATAAATATAATTTTTTTCCCCCAAAGTGATAAGACTGACTTGAGCCTGCCAACAGTTTCACTTCATTGTCTGATAAGACATGAAGTGTTATGCTGCCAGACTGGTTAAGCTGCACCCATCAAAAAATCTTGATAGATAACCTGGCCCTTTTTCAGAATGCAGGTTTAACAATCTCTGAGCGTAACCCTGAGCTCTGACTTGAATAAACTTGAGATGGGAAATTCCATTTTGTCTTTTCAGCTCCACCACAATCATCCTCACTCAGAAATCCTCACATCATCTCCATCATGATAACTATGATAGGAATGTTCCATCGGTGTGACTAATCACAACATGACAAATGGTTGTTCATTGATCAGTTACAGCTTCATAGATATTTGTTTTTAAACACTGATTACTGCAGCAATGTAGTCCACGCTAAAGTTTCAGTGTGAATGACAATCTGAAAGCTTTAATGTCCACAGAGTCGCAGTGTTATAAAGAAGGACCGTGTAGCCTATAGATTTTATTCTGTGCTGAGGATGAATCCACAATGTGGATCTGGTTTGGCTGCACCCAACAAAATGTTAAACAAAACAAAAACAAAGATGCTGGCATATATATTTATTGATGGTAATAAAAGTCTGTACGATGATCTTGATATATTGATTTCATCCAGATCACTCCCTCCTTGGGCGCCATTAATGGTCATGGACTTATTGGACTAATCTCTGAGTAAAACAGTTGATGTGGTTTAATGCAAGTAGTCCTCCCTAGCCTAAGTTCAACACATTTCAACACAGAATATGGCGGGAGCATACGGACTGGCTATACTCTTGCTACTGTAAAGACTTTACAATGCATAGTCTAGTGGAACATCATCTCAAAGCTGCTGTGTAGAGGAATTGGGAATTTCTAATCCAATAATAATACATCACAGCTTCAGGCTTATGGTCTGATTGTCTCAGAGATGTGAGAGAGGCTTCACTCCCAGTCCCAGATGTGCGCTGGTCCTCTTTAGAAGCTGGATCACAGAGATGAATAACCAGGACCATCTGGCATGCAGCCACAGTGGATGAGGGATGAAGGACTGTACTCAGAAGTACATTTTGTATATAAACACACACGTCACTATGCATTTTGTTCAAAGTCTAGTCTATTGAACAATACACTACTGTGCTCATTGAACAGATATTATATCTGTTGTTGCCTTTCAGTTGAATCATTACAAAGTCTGAAATTTTGCACATTTATTAAGGTTAATGTAATGTAAAAACATGTAAATGTTATTCCTGCTGTATTGAATCCTAGAGCCACCGTAACACATCCGATTTTATTGTCAAAGAGAAGACATCACTAAAAATCAAATCCTTGAGCTTCTACGTGACCTTGGTTTCTTCATAGACCATCTAGTAACTTAACCGATGCTGAGAGCTTGATCACAGGATTATCCTTTGAGCATGTGAGGAGTCTTGTTCTATTGGTTCTACTTGAAGATACAGAGTTAAATTCGAATATAATCTCAGCCCAGATCTAATGGCTTTAGATTTTTCTTCTGTCTCTAAAGACAGCTATCCGTTATTAGAAAGAGGAACTACAGTTTGTATCAACATGTCCCATAAGGGGAATAATCTAGTCTAACTAGTATAGAAAAAATTCTCGACTACATAACCGTCTTGCATTTTACTTGATATTATCTTAACAAATATTGTGACTTCCGTTTCTTTCTTTTCTTCCAGTAAGAGTGGTGCCCTTCCTTAGCCGTCCAGCCTTGCCAGCACTGCTCCTGCCCAGTGGAGAGCACCTGTTCAGCTCCAATGCCATCTGCCAGTCAGTAGTTTATAGTTCGTCCTGCTTGGCCATTTATGAATGCCAATGCCAAGTTGGCATGAATATGGAGGCTGTTAAGGGTCATTTTAACCACCAAAATATATTTTCACTTATCTTGATCTGTATGTAGACCAGCAGATAGCGTTGGCTGTAACTGCTCCGGTTTTAATGCCATAAGCCCCACAAAAAAATTGTGTGGCAGCAAAAACTCTGAAATAGGTATCTTGAAACCAAAACTATCTGCATGGCTGTATACCAGTAGAGCTTAAATGGCAAGATGTGTTTTTGTAATATGGGTAAACTGATCCTTTAACCCTGTCAGCAGCCAAAGCTGTGTTTGTCCTATTTTAATGGTAGTTACAACATTTCATTGACAAGTGTAATTGGTGATGAATCTTACGTATCTGGTAATGTATTTATTTGAAAATGCTTCTGTTATACCATAGAATGGTAGAGGCTGGCAACGATATCAATTTTAGCTTTAGTTTGACAATGATTACATTGCAATAACTTTTTTAGGCACCCTGTAACTAACTCCAGAGGACGGAGCACATTTGTGGCAGATGTCTGTATTTTAGGTGTGTTTCCTTTTGAAACCAAGTAAGCTGCAAATGTTTAACAGGACTTCCATCTGCTTTCAACTTTAGATACCTGTTTGAAGTAAGTGGACAAGGCTCCAGTGAGCTTTGCAGTCAGTGGCTTGAATGGGAGGCCACAGATCTCCAGGTAAGAGCTACATAAAAAACAGACAGTTTCGGTTTGCTGCTAATCTGTTGTACAAACATACTAAACCTCCTTGAGATGCAAACTTTTTTCAAATCATGTTTTGGTACATTCTCCTCTTCTCTCTCTGTTCCACAATGTGTAGCCAAAGGACACATAAATCCATGCAGCTAAACTCATGCTCTCAAAAGAACAATGTGCAGAAAAATATCTGTCAACATGTTCTATAGGGTGTAAGGAAATTAACTGTTTAACCTCAGTCATGCCTCTTTGATTTACTGCTTGATCTAATGCCAATTAATCAATTCTAATTAATCTCTGCTTTGTCTTACTTTTGCAGCCTGCGCTGTTACAGGCCCTTCACATGGCAGTGCTGCAGGGAAAAGGATCAGAGGTGTCCAAGGTCCTCCAGGGGCCCCTAAACCACTTGGAGCAAAGTTTGAGCAAGGGGAAGACGCAGTGTTTAACTGGGGTACACATTAATAATTTCAGTGCCCATTCAGGTGCCATGTATAGTGTGAGCACATTTAGAAGAGAAAGGCAAACATACCCACTTAAACAAGGCCTTTTCAGTCTCTATAATATATGATCGCGTGAAAAGTTCACGATGCCTCTTTGGAAGCTGAGCGGAGCTTAACTGAGCATCTCCTCTAACACACCAGGCTCCTCCGGCAACATTTCCTTTCTTCTCTTCTTTATTCAGCTGCTGATGCTGAGCTAGTGATGCATTTTTAAGTTAAAACAATTTATCTGGGGAGGAAGTCCCTTATGTTTCAGAAGTGCCTGAGTGTGTGTAATGTAATGCATGTCTGTGTGTGGGGTGGATGGGGATCAGATCTCTGTGGCATCTGCAGCCCCTGTGGCAACAAGTCATCTGCGTCTGTCATATATTTCATGTGTACAGAAATGTGTTTTGTTAAGTCTCTTGGTGATAGGCTTAGCTTGGAGGAACCCTGTGCAAAGCTAAAGAAAAACTGTGGTAAGCACATACAGTGAGGCCATCACAGCAGTACATATAGTCTATATTTATTGAGATGCACACTGTGGTCATGATGAAAATAGTCTTCCTCATGGTTGTACTGTATGAACAAAGTCACAAGTGGGCAGGTGGATTCCACTTCTGCTTTGTTCAGGGCATTCACAACAAGCATTTAGGATTTTAAGGTCATGGCAGAGCAGGTTCAGGAGTGGTGTGTGTTAATTGCTTGAAAAAAAAAAAAAAGTTCATTAAACCGTGCTGTGTTTCAGGAAGCCGTTTCAGTTGCTGATGTTGTTTTGGCTGCTGCTCTGTACCCCGTTTTATCTGACTCGTCACTAGCACTGAGTAAGAATAAATTTGAACATGTTTCTTATTGTCCATGCATAAATTGTCCATCCATGAACTCATTTTCTGAACTCATTTTTTTAAATACCTCAACTTCTGCATTTTCATTAAACAAATTTCTTTCCTTTATTTACCGTCTTCCTTTATTTAACTTTCAAATGGTTTATTTCCAGATTTTTTTGTTCTGTGTTTGAACGCTCCTTACCGCAAACCTCTGCTTTCCTTTTCAGGTGAACACAAGTGTGTGAAGGCTTGGTTTGACCAGCACAGTTTCCAGTCTGCTGTTCAGAAAGTGCTGCAGGGAAAAGGCCTGCAGGGCTTAAAGAG